AGTTTGCCCTTTCCTTCTCCAGCTCATTTGACAGATGAGGAATCTGAGGCAAACAGGGTTAACTTGCCCAGGGTCACACATCTGGTAAGCGTCTGAGGCCATATTTGTGGCACTCTATCCACAGAGCCACGTCGCTGCCTGACGTCAGTGCTAGCCAGGTCTTGCTGACGTGAGACTGGGAGACTCCGAGTTCCTTGAAGGTAGGGATTATTCTCTAATTTGTTTTGTTTTTGCCTTTCTCTGCACCTCCAGTGCTTACTTAGCACAGTCTCTGACATACGGTGAGCACTCATGAAAGCTTGTTGACTGATCACTGACTTTAAGGCCAGCGCTCTCCACGTGATAGTGTGCTTGCACATGCAGACACTGTGCTGTGTCTCTCTTGTTTGTAGCTCTTCGAAAACCTGGGTAAATATTGCCCCCATTTTATAGAGTAACCTGAGGACCCAAAGGATTTAAATAACACACCCTAAAACCACACAACCACAAAATCGCAAGGCAGAGACTTGATCTCATATCTTCCCACTCTTGGTTTTGTATCTTTTTAAACACACCATCCAAGCAATTTTGGGCCACTGCCCTCCAGTGGCCGTTGAGGCAGATGCTCAAGGACTTGTAAGACAAGGCTGATACTTGGTAGCTCACACAGTCAGAGAATCAAGGAATTTTGGAATTGAAATAAGCCTTTGTTAGCCAACCAGTCCAACCCACACCCAAAATATAACATATCTAACAAATGCCCACCATCCAGCTTCTGCCTGAAGACCTCCAAGGGGGTAGAACCCACCACTTCCTTAGGCATCCATTCCACTTTGGGGCAACTCTCATTGTCTCAATGTTTTTCTTGACATCAAGCCCCAATTTCCCTCTTTGCAACTTCATGGCTCAACCCTCTGGGGCCAAACAGAAAAAGTCTAGCCCCTTCTCTACACAACAGTCCTTTGCATCCTCAAAGACAACTTTTATGTCCTCTTTGAATGTCCTCTTTTCCATATATTATCTTTACGTCAAATGTCAACAACATTCGTTCCTTCAACTGATTCATCAAGGCTTTCCACTAACATGATTGCCCTCCTCCAGGCTATATATCCATCCCTCTAGTCAATGCCCCTTGACTCTGGAGCAGAGAACTGAAGACAATACTCCAGATCAGACTCCATGATCACCTCTCTGTCCTGTAAGCTGTGTCCTTCTGAATGTACTCTAAGATTTTTTTGGCTGCTATACCCCACTGCTTCTTAATAATGTGCTTGCAGCCCACTGAAGTCCCCGGGTCACTTTTCTTTTTTATGCTTGTTCATGCCTCTCCCATTCTGAGCTTGTAAGTTGACTTTTTAAATTGTTGTTGTGGTGCCTATTTTACAGATGAGGAAACTGAGGCAAAAGGGTTAAGTGACTTGTCCAAGGTCACACAGCTAGTGTTTGAGGCCAGATTTGAACTCAGGAAGATGAGTCTTCCAGATTCTAAACTCAGTGCTCTATCCACTGCAGAACCACCTAACTGTCCTTATTCCTCTTGAACTTCACCTCATTCTATATAGCACAGTGCTCCAGTCCTTCAAGGTCTTTTCCCATCTCCAATCTTATCTAGCTAGTCTTCCTAGCTTTGGGGAGATTTATTATCTGTTCTCCTTTTCCTCCAATAAGCAATCTTTATCCTTTGTCATGTCTCTACAAAGAACAACAAATAATGACATAACTTGGCAATCCCCAAACATTTCAGATTCTAATTTTGAAGTACCAGTCACTCAGTCAACAGAGGGAAGGGAAAAGCCATTTATAATAAGTGCTATTATATTCCAGGCACTGTGCTAAACCTTTCACAAATATTATTTCATTTGATCCTTACAACCCTGGGAAGTAGGTATTATTGCTACCTCCATTTTATTTTAGAGATGAGAGAACTGAGGCAGACAGGATAAGTGATTTGCTCAGTGTCACATAGTAAGTATCTGAGGATGAATTTGAACTCAGGTCTTCCTGACTTTCTAGGGGCTGCTAGGTGGCTCAGTGGATACAGTGCCAGTCCTGGCTTCAGGAAAACTCATCCTGTTGAGTTCAAATCTGGCCTCAGACACTTATGAGCTGTGTGACCCTGAGCAAGTCATTTACCCTGTTTGCCTCAGTTCCCCATCTGTAAAATGAGCTGGAGAAGGAAATGGCAAACTGCTTTAATATCTTTGCTAAGAAAACACCGAATGCGGTCAGGAAGAATGGAACATAATTGAAATAACTGAACAACTTCTGGACTTCGGGGCTCTCTCCACAGCCCCACCTAACTGCCTCAGGGTGGCCAAGGAATCTGAACTTTGTATTTTGATTGAAATGGATTCCCCCTTCACAGCCAATTAACTTAGGGACAGTTTCTATGTAGATGTTTTCCTTTTTATTTTTAATAGGATTTTATTTTCCCCCCAATTATATGTCAAGGCGATTTTTAGCATTCTTTTGTACAAGATTTTGAGTTCTAAATTTTTCTCCCTCCCCTCCTCTTCCCTCTTCCTAAAATGGTAGGCAATTTGATATAGGTTATATATGTGCAATTATGTAAAACACATTTCCATATTAGTCATAGCTGTGAAAGAAGACACAGATTAAAAGAGAAAAAAACACACAAAAAATAAAGTAAGTGAAAAAAGTATGCTTCGATCTGCATTCAGAGTCTATCAATTCTTTCTCTGGCTGTGGATAGCATTTTCCATCATGAGCACTTTGTACTTGTCTTGGACCATCGTGTTGCTGAGAAGAGCTGAGTCATTTATAGTTAATCATCACACAGTGCTGCTGATACTGTGTACAATGTTTTCCTGGTTCTGCTCATTTCACTTTGGATCAGTTAATACAAATCTTTCTGGGTTTTCCTGAAATCTGCCTGCTCATCATTTCTTATTGCCCAATAGTATTCCATTACATTCATATACCACAATTTGTTCAGCTGTTCCCCAACTGATGGGCATTCCCTCAATTTCCAATATATTGCCACCACAAAAAGGGCTGCTGTGAATATTTTTGTACATGTAGGTTCTTTCCCCTTTTTTTTTTAATGATCTCTTTAAGATACAGACCTAGTAGTGGTATTGCTAGATCAAAGGGAATGCACATTTTGGTTACCCTTTGGTCATAGTTCCAAATTGCTCTCTAGAATGGTTGGATCAGTTCACAACTCCATCAACAGTGTATCAGGGTCTCAATTTTCCCATATCCTCTCCAACATTTATCATTTTTCTTTTTTGTTATATTAGGCAATCTGATAGGTGTGAGGTGGTACCTCAGAGTTGTTTTAATTTGCATTTCTTTAATCAAAAGTGATTTAGAGTACTTCTTCACATGACTATAGATAGCTTTGATTTCTTCATCTAAAAACTGCCTATTCATATCCTTTGACCATTTATCAATTGGGGAATGGCTTGTATTCTTATAAATTTGACTCAGTTCTTTATGTATTTGAGAAATGAGCCCTTTATCAGGGACACTTGCTGTAAAGATTATTTCCCAGCTTTTGATTTTCCTTTTCATCATGGTTGCATTGTTTTTGTTTGTGCAAAAGCTTTTTAATTTAATCAAAATTATCTATTTTACATTTCATAATGCTCTGTATCTCTTGTTTGGTCATGAATTCTTCCCTTCTCCATAGATCTGACAGGTGGACTATTCCTTGTTCTTCTAATTTGCTTATGGTATCACCTTTTCTATCTAAATCATATACCCATTTTGACCCTAGCGTGGTATACGGTGTGAGATGTTGATCTCTACCTGGTTTGTGCCCTATCGTTCTCCAGTTTTCTCAGCAGTTTTTGTCTAATAGTGAGTTCTTATCTCAAAGGCGGGGGTCTTTGGGTTTATCAAACACTACTTCACTATGGTCATTGACTACCTTGTCTTGTGTGCCTAACCTATTCCACTGATCCACCACTCTATTCCTTAGCCAATACCAGGTAGTTTTGATGGTTAGTGCTTGATAATATAGTCTGAGATCTAGTATTGCTAAGCTACCTTCCTTTGTATTTTTTTTTATTAATTCCCTTGATATTCTAATTTGCTTATGGTATCACCTTTTATATCTAAATCATACACCCATTTTGATATGGCACTGAATGAGTAAATTAGTTTAGGCAGAATTGTCATTTTTATTATATTGGCTCAGCCTACCCATGAGCAGTTGATATTTTTCTGTTTGTTTAAATCTGACTTTGTGTGAAAAGTGTTTTGTAATTGTGTTTGTGTAATTCCTGGGTTTGTCTTGGCAGGTAGACTTGCAAGTACTTTATATTATTTACAATTATTTTAAATGGAATTTCTCTCTCTATCTCTTGCTGCTGGGCTTTGTTGGTCATGTGGTGATTCTTGTCCTTTGTTCTTGAAGAGGACCAAAATGACATCATTAGCTAGAGTCAAGCTACAGTGTTCGACTGTGTCTGATCAAACCAATATGAGCTCTGGCTGCTCTACCGCAAGTCAGGCACAAATAGTCCATGCAAACATTTGGGGTGGATTCTCTCAACCTGTGCACTGGTATGGGTGATGTCTTTTGATTTGTGTGTAAATTGGATTTAAGTGAGGAAGTCACCAGCCTCACTCTCTCCTCCAGAGTCATCACAGTCCAGTGGTAGGACAGGGTCGAGGTGATGGTGATGGTGATGGCTTGAGATGCAGTGGATGACCTTGGCGTCAGAGATGTCTAACCAAACTCTAAATCTAAGTGCTCCACAGTGCCTGTTTCAGCTATAAAGATACTGGAGTGATTTCGCTATTTCCTTGTCCAGCTCATTTTATAGATAGGAAACTGAGACAAACCAAGTTAAGTAACTTGTCCAGGGTCACACAGCTAGTAAGTGTCTGATGCCAGATTTGAACTCAGGTCTTCCTTATTCTAGGGCCAGCACTCTATCCATTGTACCACCTAGCTGCCAGATTCTCATTCTCTCTCTCTCTCTCTCTCTCTCTCTCTCTCTCTCTCTCTCTTTCTCTCTCTCTCTCTCTCTCTCTCTCTCTCTCCCTCTCTCTCTCTCCCTCTCTCTCTCTCCTTCCCTCCCTCCCTCCATCCCCTTTTTTGAGGGCAAGAAGAAGCTTAAAAAATTTGGGGAATCAGGAAAGATGTTATGTAGGAACTGCTACTTGAACTAAGCCTTGTTAGGTGTGAGAAATAATTCATTTGGACCCTTACTCTATTCCAATCAGCATTAATCAGTTTGATATTTTACATAAATTGTGTATGGATAGATAGGTTCTTATAGTGGGCCTCAAACTTTGATGTAGACATCTCCATCCTGTTTCACTCAATTCCATGTCCAAATCTAGCATGGGTGTGATGTCTTAGTACTTTGGAAAGTTGCTGAGTTTATTTTTATACCTCCAGATCATTCTCTCTCATACAACATAAGCAGGTGACCATCTTATGACCACTTAGTCAGTGGAGATGCCCCATGCTTCATCCAACCTGTGACCCCCTTCCCCTCCCTCATGCTGATATGTCATTTTTGGCTCTCAAGAGCCAAGGTCTATCAACCAATGAGATTCTGTATTTTGCCATGCCTCTTTTGCATATTTGGGTACCAAACCCTACAAAAACAAGGTACTGGAAGAAGGGAGCATCTCAGATCATGAGGAAGATCTGAGGTCCACTTCATTAGAAGGGACCATGGACACTTCAAGAAAGTGCCATTGGTTTAGAGCTCTGCCTCAGTCTCTTTTATTGTAAGTTGGGCAATTATAATCCCCATGTAGGCCTTTGAAGAAGTGAAAGTGAGGAGGGAGTTTTTCAGGCACCAGGGAACCTAAAATGAGATCAAGACTTCATAATGGCACACAGTCAACAAAACCGAGGTAGGAGACTACCAAGTCCTCATAGATTAGACTGAAGTGGGGTCCAGGGGTGTGGGGGTGAGGCTCTGGGGACAGGGAAGTATTGAAAGATAGGCAGAGTTGGTAAAGAGTGCCTTCTGCCATATAGAAGTGTTTGCCTAGAGGTAGAACAAATAAGAAGATTGCCAAAAGCCAGAGAATCCTAGTTGTCATGGCAATTTGAATCTGCCTTGTCTAGAAATCCTTGGGTTTGATCTATTGCCATCTAACCTTAGACAAGCTGAATCTGGGAACAAGGTATAAAAGAGGGCTTTGATCTTGCAGTGACTAATTCCTTGCCCACTTTTATGGAAGGCCGGGGTCAGCCTTTACGATTTTTGCCCTTTGTGAGGTTTCATTTAATTATTTTTTTTTGGAGTGATGAGCCATATAAGTCCCTTTAGTAGAAGAAAGAAGAAGGTGGAGGAAGAGGAGGAGAAAGAAGAAAGGACAAAGAGGAAAGGGAAAAATAAGGAAGAAAGAGGAGGAAGAATGAAGAGGAAAGGGAAAAAAAGAAGGAAGAAGAACAGAGGGTAGAGAAAAGTAGTTGTGAATTGTGTACTGTTTTCAGAGCCATCAGGGCAAGGGAAAAGTAAAACCTTACATTCCCTTTTGGCCAGGGACTTGATAAGGATGTGAAAAAGGCAATAAGAAATTGGTAGAAGGCACCGAGGAACCACCAAGTGGTGATGGGGATGTGTTTAGCTACTGGTGCCTTCAGCTTATAACACAGGAACACAAGCTTGAGAGTCAGGTCACCTTACACCTCTGTACAGAACTTCAATGTGGTTCGGGCCATTTCCTTCTCATACAGCCCATCAAATATTTCATTCTGGGCCACTGTAAAGTAATTCTTCCAGTCACCAATAATCCCTGAAAAACAAAAAAGATAGGGAATGAAACTTCGAAGCCATCTGTTTGTGAGACAGAAAAGGAACGAGTTATGAACCCACATAGGGTTTATATAGTACTTTGATATGTTACTTTATTTGACCCTCACAACTCTGTGAGGTAGGTGCTATTGTTATCTCCACTTTATAAATGGGGAAACAGAGGCAGGCAAAGTGCTCAGGGACACAAAAGTAGGAAGTATCTGAATCCAGATTTGAACACAGGCCTTCCTGCTCCAGGTCCAGTACTCTCCCCACTGAGCCATCTAGCAGCCTCTATGAGAGTCCTTGAGTTTCATCTCAAAAGGGTCTCTGGCCAGCTAGAGGCACTAATCTGACTCACGAGCTTGTTAAGAAGCATGAGAAAATGCTTTGAGAGCAAGGCATAGGAAGAAGTGTTAGAAGAAGAAACAAGAGAGTGAGCCCAGCCCAGGAGAGGCACAACACACAAGGCTTCCCACTGAAATAGCCACTGGTCAGTTTCTTTGCTGGGAATTTGCAAGAGAGGTTCTGCTTTGCTGATTGGCTGGAGAAGGACAGCTGCTGGAAGCTCATTGGAAGAGAGCTGACTGCCGCAGCTAAGTGGAGAGCTATCAATAGTCTTCTAGCGACATCTACAGGATGAGATGAGGAAGCCCATTCTGCCTTCTGCCCTCTTCCCTTGAATATAATGTTTTCATGAGATCCTATGTAGGACTTTTAATAGGTTTTTTTTTTTTGTGAGACCCTACATATGGCTTTTAATACGAGTTTTTTTTCCCCCATGAGATCCTGCACATGGCTTTTGATAAGTTTTTTCATGAGATCCTATAAATGGCTTTTGATAAGTTTTTTCATGAGATCCTACATATGGCTTTTGATAGAGATCTTTTTCATGAGATCTTTGTGATGGAGGAGATGTAAGGTACACTTAGGTGAGTTCAGATTGTTTGCCTCAATCCAAAGAGGGGTGATTATTAAACCGATATCAAACTGGAGAAGGGTGTCTGGTTGAGTTTTTTCTATACAGTACCCTCTTCTGTTTGAAATCTTTATTAATTCCTTGGATGAAGGCCTATATGGCTTGCTCATCAAACTTGTATGACACAAAGCTGAGAAGAATTGATAATCCATCAGATGGAAGGATTTGGATCCGTGAAAGTCCAGAATGGTGGACTGAAACTAAAGAGATGGAATTTAATAGGGCTGAAGGTAGTGTTTTGCACAAATATTTAAGAAGTTATCTGCCCATGGATGGGATCATGAAAGCAACTCATGTGAAAAAGAAAAAAAAACCCAGACTGGAGGGTCTTTATGAGGTGTAGGTTCAGAGACAACATTGTGATGTGGCAGCCCTGCCCTCCCTGCCTTCCCCACTCAAGCAACAGTATTAGGCTGAATCAGCAGAAATACAGTGACTCCTTCTGTACTCTGCCCTAGTCAGACCACTTCTGCAGTATTGTGATTAGTCCTGGGTACCCCACTTCAGAAAGGATACCCACAAATTGGAGAGTTTGTCCAGGGGAGAGTGACCAGATGGTGATGGTATTTGAAACCGGTAGCAAGACCCCTAACTTCTATCTGCCTCAATTTCCTCATCTATAAAATGGGGATAACAGCACCTACTTCCCAGGGTTGTTGTATGGGTCAAATGAAATAATATTTGTAAAGCACTTAGCACAGTGCCTGGCATGTGACGTGTAGTGGCACTATATAAATGCTAGCCTCTATAATAATGATGATGATGATGATGATAATGACATTATTATAATTTCTTCCCACCACACCAAACAATGAGAGCACAGAAATGGTTATTGAAATCTCAGGAAAATCGTTACCTTTCCGCAGGTGAGAGGAGACATCATGATCCATCATTTTACTCGATATATTTGTGAAGTTCAACAAGGGGTTATTTTTCATCATTTCAAATGAGGTATGATGGATGATCTTCCTCAAGACCTCTTCATCTAGGTTCTTCCCCAGGAAATGCATCACCTTCTTGATTTCCTTCTTAGGGTTCTGCCAATGGGTAGAGAGATATTTCAAAAAAGCTAGTATGCCAAGTACTTCAGTGAATTTGTTTTTTCTGGAATAAGTCAGAGAGAGATGATGGAAGAGAGGGTTGGAGGTCAAAGAATGAATACATAGGCGTCCTTCCCCTTCCCCTTCCCCTTCCCCACTCCCTCCAAGGCTTTTGTGGGGTTGCCTTTGCCAGCTGGTGGTAATTGGAGCTGATAGGGTGCTGCTTACTAGCCCTACCTTACCTCCTGCCAGGTGTGGAGAATAGACCCAAGTGTGTCCCCTGGTTGCATTACAAAATGGCTGCTGTTTGTTTATATGGTTTACCTTTAATTGGCTTCTTTTCCTCCCTCCATTTCATTATAATTAGAGTAATAAGAGCTAGCATTTATATGGCACCTTAAGATTTCTAAAGAGCTTTATAGATATTATCTTATTTGATCCTCAACCCTGAGGAAGTAGGTGCAATTATCATCCTCATTTTATAGATGTGAACACCAGTGTAGGTTTCTTTTTTTAAAATTAAGTCAATTAATTTATTTTTAGTTTTCAATGTTCATTTCCACAAGATTTTGAGTTCCAAATTTTCTCCCCATCTCTCCCCTCCTCCCACCCCAAGATGGCCTACATTCTGAATACCTCTTCCCCTAATCTGCCCTTCCTTCTATCACCCCTCCCTTCTCTTATCACCTTCCCCTTCTATTTTCGTGTAGAGCAGGATAGATTTCTGTACCCCATTGCCTGTATATCTTATTTACCAGTTACATATGTAAGTAATTTTTAACATTCGTTTTTAAAACTCTCCCTTCCTCCCTCCCCATCCACTGTCATTGAGATGGCAAACAACTCAATACAGGTTATACATGTGCAGTCATGCAGAACACTTCCATAGTAGTCATGCTGTGGAAAACTAACTGTATTTCCCTTCATCCTATCCCGCCCTCCATTTATTCTATTCTCTCTTTTGACCCTGTCTCTCCTCAGAAGTGTTTGCTTCTGATTACCCCCTTCCCCAATCTGCCCTCCCTTCTATAAATCACTACAACCATAGCTTACAATAAATTCATTTTTTCAGGAGTAATAAAAACAGAACTCCAAACCATCAAAAAAAGCTGTATATATTTAGTTTCCTTGTTATATAAGGTATGACTGTAAAGCGACATGACACACAGATTTTTTTGGGGGGGCCAGATACAAATGAAAGATCAATCTTTTTAAATTCATACCTCATATAGTGTATCTCCTGGAAGACAGCTTCAAATTGGTAGGTCACTCTGCTTGCTGAGAGTGGAGCATAGCAATTCCTCATTCAAAAGACTGTCATTCCACAACTGGATGTCTCATTGGGTGCAAGAAAGAAGTCTGTTAAGTACCAAGGTATCACTCCTTAGGTCAGTAATTGCAGCAAGGCTGTATGTATGGCCCCCATTTGAGAACAGTACTATGGAGAACAGTTTATTCCTTCCCAAGATTGTTTTCTATGTGCAGAATTATCTGGTAACTTGCCATCTTTTAAAAGAATTAAAATTCCTTGGCATGAGTAACACTCATTGTAGGAACTTGTATTCAGAATTCATTATTCCCTTTTCGCTGGAGTTGGACTGCTATCTTTGTCCGGAAACATCCTCTAGGACCAGAACTTTTCAGGATCCCCCACAAAGAATTTTAGCCATTCTTACTATAAAAATACTAATTGATTCAACAAAAATGATCAAGAGAAAATATTGCCAAATAAACACAGCCGCCTCTGTAGAGGAAAAAAAGGTTCAAGGGCATCTATTTTTAAAACATTGGCTTGTATTGCAAGTTGTCTGTTAGTAATTGGTAAAATGACACTATTATGACATGACACAAAATGAGCAGAAAACATTGCATTGAGCAAACAAATAGTAGAAAAAGGCAACATGGAGGATGTCCCTGTAGTACTTCAATTGTAGAAATTGGTAGCAGCCTTTTCTGATAAAAAAAAAAATTCATCTCATGCATTAAAGTAAGAAAAGCAGAACTCTGGGGACTTCCCTGTTGGGGATGATGGTACAAGAATGTGCCTAGAAAACCAGGAGTCTTGTGGATGTCAATGTGCATGAGTTTATGTCCTCCGTGTGGGCTGCACGGTACAGAGAGGGTTCGGAAGCACTGCAGTTGATTTTCAGTAAAGAGTGTTGTAGTAACTCAGTGGAAGACAATATCTGTGGAAAAAGAGGTCTTTCTTCCTTAACTTTCTTCACACAGTCTGCTACAAGCCTCTTCATGGCTTTGGGGTGATTCTTGTATAGCTTACTGAGATCTGGAGATACGTACCCTCGACCAAACATAAATAGAATCTGATCTTGGTTGCTGATGTATGAATATGGTAGCTCCCCTGTGATTAGTTCATACAGCACAATGCCATAGGAATAGACATCTGATTGAAAGCTGAATGGATTATTGTCCTACATGCAGATAACTTCCAGAGCCATCCAGAGAATGGAAGCGGTTGGCTATTCCACTTGCTGAGAACCACTCCATCTCGATCTCACTGTTGCCAAACCAAAGTCTCCTGTTTTCACTGTCAGACCTTCATGAAGAAATCTATTATTTGATTTCATGTCTCCGTGGATGATGTCCTTGTGCCATCTGCCAGGTGATGTCGATAAGCTGGAACATGCGAAATTTGGTCTCCTGGACGTGGACTTATAAAGACTGCTGCCCTCACACCGCTGTGTCACAATGGCCACGTTATCCTCAGTCATATAGCCCATGAACAACAGAATGTTAACATTCCTGGGTTTTCCCCAAAGCGCTTTGAGTCCATTGGAGGGAAAGGGAAGCTTTCATTCCTGCTCTTGCTGAACTGTGCAGTGAGGTGGGGTAGAGTCCAGCATAGGTTTCTCAGACTGGATTTGAACTCAAGTCTTCCTGACTCCAGGTTCAGCACTCTATCCACTGTTCTACCTAGCTCCTTGAGAGTAGGGATTGCTTCATTCTTTGTATCTGGGTCCCCAGTGCCCAACATGGTGGTTGGCTCATAGTAGACACATTAAAAAGCTTGTTTGGGTGATTGTAATGTATATTCTACTTTAATTATTTTTAAAAGCTAAGCATTCACTAAATACACATCTGGTGTGATGAATATTGGCCAAAGGTAAAGATTCAGGAAGAAGTTTTGATTCCTTAGAGGCAAACAGGTTAAGGATAATTCCTTGCTTCTGAGATATAGGGGTGAGTTTAGAAGAGGGGAACAGTGGACGTTGAACTTATTGGAATCAATCAAGAGAAAGTACTGAAATCAACCCCCTAGGCAAATGCAATAAACCCAAGAGGCAAACATTAACCTAGGCAGAGCCAGTGTCCAGTGGATTGGGGTTAGGGAATCTGGGAGGGGCCTCACCTGAGAGCCTCTTCCTTGTCCTTGACTCTCACTGTCCTGTTTATTCCCATTACAATCTTGAGCTCCGTTCCACTTACAATTAAAAAGGGGGCTGCTCCCTTACAAATTATTGAGGGTTGTTACTGCTCCCCACTACATGTCCCCTAACAATGAAAAATTCAGTGCTTTCCTGTTATGTTCTCCAAGGTAATCTTCCTTCTTTTCCTTTTCTCTAACACAGCCAGAAAGACATGGGTGTTGAGGAGCCAAGACAAGGGCAAAAAACAGCCCCCGATTTTTAGAGCTCCATTAAATGTTGAATAAGATTGGACTTGGGAGAGAGCACTTGGTCCTTTTTTACTTGAGTCACATTTGTTTCCCCGTTAATGTGAACTTTTTTATTATTATGAACTTGAGAACCATCAACAAACACAAGCATTTCTCTATAAAAAACCCAGAAAATAGATGAAAGCATGAGTCTCCTATGACACATGTCATGGAGACTCATGATTGAGTAGCTTGGATTTTTTGGTTTATTTCCAATTTAACACTGTCCTACTTGTCTATGTCACCTTCTGAACTTCTGCTCTCCTCTGAATGTTTTAATGGCTTGTTTCTTTTTTCTTTTCTTTCTTTATTTTAGGAATAAATAATTACCACATGGACTGAGTCATGGGTATAACTGTGGATTTTTTTTAAGGACATGGAGCTAGTCTAGTTAGGTTTGTTTTTAATGATCTTGCATTGGTATACTTTATTATAAATTTTTTTATTATGAACTTAACCACCAAAAACATAAATATTTCAATATGGAAAAAGGTACCGCTATTACTATCACTATTTTCATATTCTCCTCCCTTTCCTCTATCCAAATCCTTGCAACAAATTTTTGTTGGCGTTGAGTCATTTTGGTTGTGTCTGACTCTTTATGACCCCACTTTGGGGTTTTCTTTGTAAAAATACTGGAATGATTTGCCAATTCTTTCTACAGCTCATTTTACAGATGAAGAAGCTGAGGCAAACTGAGGGTGAAGCGACTTGCCCAGGGTCACACAGCTAGTAAGTATCTGAGGCTGGGTTTAAACTCAAGAAGATGCACCTTCCTAGTGCTGTATGTACTGTGCCACCTGGCTATCAAATGCTCACATTGGCTCTGGAAATGTTTTCTGTTGCCCCTTTAGTCTAGCGCTTCTCTGCCCGGGTGTGTTTATTAATTGTATATTTCTCTGCATAGCAACCTCTTCTTTTTCTCTGTTCTCTTTCTGTACAAAGAAGATGCGAATGTTGGAGTTTGGAAGAGAATATAAAGGTTAGAAAGCACAGGGGAGGTTGATTGAAAGATAAGATGTTGTCTTTCCCTTTCTGGCCTGGAGGAGCCTTTCTTTTTCAGTATTTGCCTCAGACCTTTTTCTAAAGGTGGCCCAGAGGGGATTTCGTTTCTCCCTGAAGCTGGCTTGGAAGAGGTTCATGCTTTTTCTGTTTGGTTTAGAGGTGTGTTGTCCCTTGTGGTCTGCTTAATTTCTGCCTAGGGGCATGCCCTTTCTGAAAGCTGGGTAGCTTGGAGATAGTTTTTTTTTACTTCTCTTTCTTCATATCCTCCTATGAATTCCCCCATTCCCCCATTGCCTAACCAGGAGTTTCGGTTTAACCAAGGTCCAATAGAACCCTGGGAAAAATACCTTTACTCTGTTCTTCTGTCTTTCTAGAAGTATGTTCCCTGCAGTTTCAGTCACCACTTCTGTTGCCAATTTTCTTTATATGTATGTAGCATGCATCTTCTCCCTCTCTGAGTGAACCTATCCATCCATTCTCTGTTTGATTAAACTCAATGAGTTACATGATTTTTTAAAAAACAGTCCCCCAGTGAAAAAGTATTCACCAGGTGAGCCAATTTTCCATTAATGATTTTTGTCTCTGCACTTAAATTTCTTCAGAAGTCAATCTGAGGGCATGTATCTCTATCTATCTATCTATCTATCTATCTATCTATCTATCTATCTATCTATCTATCTATCTATCTTCATCCATCCATCCATCCATCCATCCAGCTATCTATCTGTGTATGTATGTATGTATGTATGTATCTATGTATCTATGTATCTATCTATCTATCTATCTATCTATCTATCTATCTGTGTATCCCTGGTAAATTCCCAGAGTGCGACATGCTTTTGCTAATTCTCTTCCTGGTGGAGAAGCTGAAGAGTCTGCTTGTGGGAGAGCCATGAGACTCTATAATGGAAGTGCCTAGGAGAGATTGTGGAGTATATATAGATATTTTGAAACTGGTTCTGGTTGGCCAACCACATGGTGAGTAGGAGGTTGTCTGACTGTGGAATCATTCAAAAGGCACCACTCAGCCTCAGCTTAGTCTCTTCTGCTGCTCTGCCCTTGGTTTGATGTCTTTGCTGATAGTAGCTGGTGAGAGCCAGTGGTATAACATGACAAGCCTTGGACCCTTCCCATTGAAGCAGCCTGACTGAATACAAACTTGGGTTCTTTCTTTGCCGGTAAAGAGAGAGTGGTATCCTGGTGCTCCAGCACCTGGACTTTGCAGCCAGGTCAGCATTGATGCCCAAAGGAGCACAGAGTGACCTCTGGGACCCAGCCTAGCAGTAGCTGAGATGAGGCTCATCTGACAGTCATGCCACATATGGATATGAAGTTGGTGAGGTTGAGGCTAGGTAGGAATTGAGCTAAGTTTGAGCCCTGTCTCCTCAGAGACTGAGATATGATAGCAGAGAGTGTGCTTCTGAGATGTTGGGGGAAATGTTTGTACTTTTAGTCTTGTTATATCTTAAGGTAAATGTTCCTTTGCAAAAGCTAATTGAGATTAAATAGAACTTGGGCATAAGTCATTGACACCTGCCAGTTAGGGAAATATATCCAAACCTTTCAGAATCCCCCTAGAAGCCCGAGAGTTCCTAGAACCTGACTCTGGGAGAACGTACATGCTACACCTAAACCCATGTTGTGTGAGTGTGAGTTGCTTCTTATAATCAGCTATGATTTCCACCTGCCCAAGTCAAAACTTCATACATTCATAAGATAATTGGAACATCTGTAAGTGAAGCATATGTCTGCAAAAGGAGGTTGGAAACAAATGATAGCTAGGTAGTGAAGGAGTGAAGAGTGCAAAAGCAAGTACGTATTGATCTCAACCTTCTCGCCCCATGGGGTAGAGGGGAAATCAGCCATAGTGTAGTGTATGATCTGTTTTTACCTTTTTCATGTCTTCATAGAACAGATAGAGCATAGGGTAATCTTCCTTTTTATCCCACCAGCTCTTCACGTGGGCAAACCAGGAGCCGTAGGACACTACATCCAGAGAAAGGAAAAGGTAATTTCTATAAGAGTCCATCCAACCGCCATGTTTCTATCTGATTAGGGTTTTTTGTTTTTGTTTTTTGCTTTTTGGTGAGGCAGTCAGGATTAAGTGACACAGTTAGTAAGTGTCAAGTGTCTGAGGCCGGATTTGAACTCAGGTCCTCCTGACTTCAAGGCCAGATCTATCCACTCCGCCACCTAGATGCCCCTGATTAGGTTTTTCATGTCATTATAACTATCCAAGGGCTTGATCTAATTTGGTCACCACGGCAACTGAAAACATTGGTTTGGATACTTTTTGGCTTAGTATTTGTGTACGAGTGTGCATTATCGGGGGATTCTGTCAATCAAGAGGAACAGGACCTCTTGGGAGAAGCTCCCCCATCAGTGGAGGCCTGATGACTGTGGCCTGAAGATATGGCGCCAAAATGAAACAAAGAAATTTATTAACGCACTCAGGAAGACTGCTCTTGCTGATAATAGTTTTAGCTTCTTAGGGTTTTTAAACCTTTTCAGGACTGCTTAGAGTACACAGCCAATCAGAAGCATTCTGTGGTGCTTAGGATAGATACATAAAACATTTCACGGGAGAAGGAGAGGTAGAGAAGGGGGATTGTTCAAGAAGGGGAGTATTTGGAACACAACTGGCAGGATTAATTATCAGAATAAGAAAACATCTTCTGTTCAAGGTCAGGAGGCAAAGGGAAAGGACCAAGTAATTTCACAATTTTTAAATAAATCCAATTAAACAAAACTTCAGGGTTGAGATAACCATTTAGACGAGATTATAGGTATCTCTTATGTAAGGACCACAAATGTTTATTACCTCAGTGAGCGAGACTATATGATTTGTCATGTCCTTACATACTTTGTTGTATCTTATTTCTTCTTCAATAGAGGATAGGGACTTTCTATTACTGGATCACCAGGTGGTTGGGGGATTGGTCCATCAAAATGTCATGAAATAATTATCGTTCCTATTTTGTTCCCCATGTCATTATTAACAGTAAGAAAAAAATGGGAAGGATATTAGAAAAATTTCAGAGTGAAATGATATATACATTCATTTAGGATTTCTTAGTATCACTCTGAGTGATAATTTTTTTGTCTTAAGACTAACTATGCAGAGATTATTTCTAGATAGAGAGGTGAAAAGAAATGTATTAAGATCACTTGTAGCTTTTCTAGCACAAACAGATCCCAAGTGAAGTACACCTATTACTTTCCTGCATTTCCATTCTTTTTACTAAGCTCAGCAGTATCTGCTGTGAGCAATTGATTAGTGTTTAGAAGGTCAAAATATTTTCTAGATCTGGTTTGGTAGATTATTATTATTATCTCACATGCTTGTGGATAGAGCTATGATTGGGATTTTTCACCAAATGATGCTTCACAAAAAAGAGTTCAGATGATTAAAAATGAACAAAGACAAACATTAGCAGTAGAAAAAGATAGCATTAATGAACTGAATATGCAATTAGAAACTAGAAAGCTAACAAATAAACTCCAGATAAACACAAAAAAGGACCTCTCAGCAAGCAGAGGAAAATTGAGCAAACTGAAAAATAGGAAGACCATAAAGTTGATATACAAAATTAAAACCTGATTCTTTGAAAAGAAAATTGAAATAAAATTGATAAAATTAATTGAAAATCAAACTAACAAAATACAAAGCAAACAAGGGAAATGATGAAAAAGTAGCTCTGGGGAGTAAAAGCAGTGACTTGCTTGAGCTGTCCCCCAAACCCCTCCAAATGCCTATAAAAAATGGCTCTAAACAAATTCTAAAGCAGCAGAACCCACAAAAAGACAGAGCGAAACAAATTTCCAGCCCAAGACAACCTGGATGATTGATTGGAAAGGTATATCTGTCAGGTGGTGAGAGGAGCACAGTTTGGTGTGGGTGCACAGGCCCCAGCGAACCTGGAGCAGGACTCAGAGGACTGAATCGCAGGCAGCTGTGGTGGTTTCCAGATCCATGAACGCCAAAGACAACTTAGAAGGTCAGTGGGAAAAGTCTGTTTCTGCAGTGAGAAAGAAGCATGGGGTCCCAGCCCCATTCCCTGAGTATTGTGGAAACACAATCAGGATAACAAGATTTAGCAGTTTCTACATTAAGGGTCCAGAGGGCATGGAGTATGATATTCTGGAGGGCAAAGGAGATAGGATTACAACCAAGAATCACCTACCCAGCAAAACTGAGTATAATCCTTCAGGGTAAAAAAATGGTAATTAAATGAAATAGGGGACTTTCAAGCATTCCTGAGGAAAAGAGCAGAGCTGAATATAAAATTTGACTTTCAAATACAAGACTCAAGTGAAACATGGAAGAGGTAAACAGGAAAGAGAAATCATAAGAGACTTATTAAGGTTGAACTGTTTACATTTCTGCATGGAAAGATGGTATTTGTAACTCATGAGTCCTTTGTCACTATTAGGGTAGTGGAAGGGAAAAATTATATGTATAGATAGATAGATAGATAGATAGATAGATAGATAGATAGATAGATAGATAGAAGGAACAGGGTGAGTTGAAGATGAAGGGGTCATATCTTGAGGATAAAATTAAGGGGTGAGGGGGGCAGCTAGGTGGCGTGGGGGATAGAGCACCAGCCCTGAAGTCAGGAGGACCTGAGTTCAAATCTGCCCTCAGACCAAACACTTGACACTTCCTAGCTGTGTGACCCTGGGCAAGTCACTTAACCCCAATTGCCTAAAAGCAAAAAAAAAAAATTAAGGGGTGAGAGAGGATTATACTGGGAGAAGGAGAAAGGGAGAAGTAGAATGGGGTAAATTATCTCACACAAAACAGACAAGAAAAGGCTTTTACAGTGGAAGGGAAATGGGGGAAGGTGAGAGGGAATGAGTGAATCTTGTTATCATAGGATTTGGCTTAAGGAGGGAATAACATATATAATGGGGTATGGAAACCTATCTTACCCTACAGGAAAATAAGGGGGGAAGGGGACAAGAGAGTAGGGGGTTGATAGAGGGGAGGGCAGATTGGGGGAGGGGATAATCAGAAGCAAACACTTCTGAGGAGGGACAGGGTCAAAAGAGAAAATAGAATAAATGGGGGGTAGGATAGGATGAAGGGAAATATGCTTAGCTTTTCACAACATGACTACTATGGAAGTGTTTTGCATGACTATACATCTATAACCTGTATCGAGATGCTTGCCTTTTCAATGAGGGGGGTTGGGGAGGGAGGAAGGGAGAAAATTTGTAACCCAAAGTTTTAAAAACACATGTTAAAAAAAAGAAGTTGGGAATTATGGGTGTGTGATATTGCATGCTCTACCACACTCAGTCGATGTGGTTAGTTTTGCTGAACTGTTTTTTTTCTTCTTTGTTATTTTTCATAACAAGGAATGGTTCAATAGTTGGGAAGAATTTATTCACAAATAAAGATATTGCAAAAACAAAAAAAAAGTAGCTCTGAAGCATGAATGGTATTACTAGATCTCAAACTAGATTATAAAGCAATAGTCATCACAACTACTTTAATGTTAGTTAAAAAATAAAAATATAAATCAATGGTACAGGCTAGATAAGGAAGAATGAAAAACAATTGAACTAAATAATCCAGTATTTGATAAATCTGAGGCCATAAGTTACTCAGGGAAGGATTCTCTATTTGATAAGAATTGTTGAGAAAACCAAAAAGGACCTTATCATAAATTAAGTTTATACCAACATTTCACATCATTTACCACAGAAAGCTAAGAATAAGAGGCAGCTAGGTGGCACAATGGATAGAGTTCCAGCCCTCAGACACTTGACACTTACTAGCTGTATGACCCTGGGCAAGTCACTTAATCTCTATTGCCTCACCAAAACAAAAGCAAAAAAAAAAAAGCTAAGAATACATATATGACCTGAATATTAAAGTTTGTACTATAAAAAAATTAGAAGAGAATCAGAGTAAGAATCTTGCACAGATATATCTAGAGAGACAATTCTTGCCAAGTAAGATATAGTTAGGTTTGATACACTAAGCAGGAGATAAAGGCAATCACAAAAGGTAAAATAGATCATTTTGATTACATGAAAATAAAAAAGATTTTTACATGAACAAAATTAACACACATAGGAAAAGGGAAGCCATTGATTGGGAAAATTTTCTTTGCAGCAAATATTTCTGCTAAGGGTCTGATATCCTAGATATGTAGAGAATTAACATAAATATACAAGAACAAAAGTTAATCTCCAGTGAATAATTGGCCAAAGGATGTGAGCAACAGTATTCAAATGAAGAATTGCAAACAACTAACAACCATATGAAAAAAATTTCCAAATCACTAATAATAAGGGAAACAATTTTGAGGTTTTACCTCAAATCCAGCAAACTGACAAAGACAGAAGTAGTTGGGGTTATGGAAAGACAGATACACTAATACGCCATTGGTAGAGCTATGAATTGGTCTAACTATTCAGGAAAGTCAGTTGGAATTATGCTAAGAAAGTGACTAAAATGCCCCTGTGCATTGACCTGGATGTTCCACTGCTAGGCATATATACCCAGGAGATCAATATAAAAAAGAAGGCTCCCAAACATTTATAGCATAACTTAGTTTGTGGCTGCAAATACTTAGAAACTAAATAGATTGGAGAATGATTAGGTGAACTGTGGCACATGAATGGAACATTACCACAGTGTGAAAAATGATGGATGTGAAAGATACAAAGAAGCACAGGAAGACATATGAACTGATGCAAAGTGAAACAAAATCAGCATAGCAGTATACATGACTGCAACAGTGTAAATAGAAAGAATGATAGTAAAACAATCAAAACTGAATGCTATGAAATGACCATGCCTACCCTTGCCCCTAAAGAAGGTGTGTGAGAATGTCCTTCCCTCTCTTCTCTGCAGAGGTGGGGACTATGAGTGTAGAATGCTGCATATAATGTATTTGGCAAATATGTGGGGTAATTTCTCTGCCCCTGCCCCTCTCTGGACTAGTGAAGGAGAATGGAAATATTGGGAAATGTAAGTGAAATTAAAAACAAAAGATACCAGAAATATATAAAAAAATAGACATTTAAGAATGAAAATAATTTTCAGGGTAATTCCAACCTACCTTTTCCAGTCATGTACTTCTCCAGGTACTCTGCCCAGGAGTTGGGGTAAGGCTCTAGTTTATTCATCAGATCAAAATGGTAATATGAAACTGCAACATCTTTGGCATTTCTTGCCATGTAAATTATCTGCAAGAAGATGGAGGGGAGATTTAGTGGGAATCCCAGGAAGAGAATTGTAATCAGGAGAGTAAGTAAGCTTCAAAGAAGCTAATCATTCATTAGCAGATTTAATTTTTTTTTTTTTTTAGAATTGGTAGATATTGATTAAAAATGCAAATTAAAACAACTCTAAAGGGCAGCTAGGTGGCACAGTGGATGGAGCACCAGCCCTGGAGTCAGGAGGACCTGAGTTCAAATCCGGCCTCAGACCAAACACTTGACACTAGCTGTGTGACCTTGGGCAAGTCACTTAACCCCAACTGCCTAAAATAAATAAATAAATGCTTATCTCTTCCTGCCACCTCTTCCTCCTTTTTATACCTCCTCCCTCAGATAGATAGGAGATGTGAGCCCAGGAAAGTCACAGTTGCCCTAAGAGGTCTTGTCTATACCTGTTTCAGTATCAGATATGCAGAGAATTCCTCAGAAGTAGACAATTCATTCTAGAGTCGCCTTGTTGGTCTAGACCAAAAAGGCGCTAGTTTCCCCCAGTGTTCTGAACCACATCTTATAGCCAAGACCGTATAATTCTGTGTGACGCTAACATTTTATTCTCTGCACACTCTACAATCCCAGTCACTAGTGTGACATGGTCTCCTTGTCTGGATGACATTTCGTCCACTCATTATTTAAACCAGCATCTAGCTGGTACTATAGCCCAGTAATAATGTCTACTCCTTCCCGCCTACTTCTTCTCCATCGATCAGCAAGTCAACTGTAAGCCAATCATTGAGGCTTCACATCCAAAAGGCAATCTCTTCCCCTTGTGGAGCTTACATTTTATTAAATCGTCCTGTATGTTCCATGCCTTCTCAAATTACCCTGCATCGCCTTGTCCCTATTCTGATTCCCACCCATCTTCCTGGAGAATGTTAGCCCCTCGAGGGCAGGGATTGTTTTGGTTTTGTTTCACATCTCCAGAAACTTACAGGTAGCACTTAGCGAATATTTATTGAATTAAATTAGATTAAATACTAATTTTATAGTTTAAGCCTCCCATTCCATTTCCAGAGTAGGACAAAATGCATTGAGAATATGTGGGGTCTCTGGAGTGATGCTTTATTGTGAAATGAATGTACATTTGCTTTAGATCCTTAAATTAAATCCCTGCCCCATGGAGCTGATAGTAACTGCTTGTGGAGACCAGTAATATAGATGATAACTTCAGATTGACAGAAGAAATTAATTATCTCTGCCCCTCAGTCTAGCTCTACTGTAATAATGAGCAAGCACTTAATGAGAATTAACTATATTTCAGGGCAGGTAGGTGGCATCACGGTAGATAGAGTGTCAGGCTGGGAATCAGGAAGTTTCCTCTTCCTGAGTTCAAATCTGTCTGTAGACACTTCCTGGCGGTGTGACCCTGGGCAAGTCACTTAATCCCATTTGCCTCAGTTTCCTCGTCTGTAAAATAAGCTGGAGAAGGAAATGGCAAACCACTCCAGTATCTTTGCCAAAAAAACTTCAAATGAGGTCATGAAGAGTCAGACAGGACCGAAAAATGATTGAACGATAGCGACAACTACGAAGACTATCCCTCCATGGACTGGAGAGCTGTAACAAACACGTTACCTTGCAGTTGTTTTTCCAGCAGTCCTTGGGAATGAGATCAACTGGCAGATGGGTCTTGATAAGGCGGGGTGAGGGCATTTTTTCTAATGCCTCTGTGCCTAGGAAGAGTCCATTTTGTAGAGGGAGACATTAGACTTTGCCAGGAACATTTCTTTAGCACCAATTCCGTGGCCAACTGTCACCATATTTTTCTGAGTAGCTGCTGTTGAACTCTGAAACAGTTGCAAATTTCCTACTTGGGCTCTTCTGGTATAAACCTTTGACAAACATGGTGGGAGTTGAAGGGTAACCCAAACAAGTTAGAGGTCAATTTACTCTTTAGCATCCAAAATTTGCTCCTATGCAGTATTTCCGTCAGCTAAGTGGAGCAGTGGGTAGGGGGCTGGGCCTGGAGCTGGGAAGATTCCTTTTTGTGAGGTAAGATCTGGTCTCAGATATTTATTAGCTGTGTGACTGTGGGCAAGTTGCTTAATCATGTTTGCCCCAGTTTCCTCATCTGTAAAATAAGCTGGAGAAGGAAATGGCAAACCACTCCAGTACTTTTGCCAAGAAAACCCCAAATGGAGTCATGAAGAGTTGGACATGACTCAACCACAATAAGTATTTTTTTTTTATCAGATCAACTCTAAACCAGTTTTATTCATCGAGGACTTTGAGGTGGAAGCCACCTTAGAAATCATCTAAGCCAACCCCTTCTTTTACAAATAGAGACACCAAAGCCCAGAATGGCTTTAGCCATTTTGAGTTTCCCCATGAATTCTAGCAGCCTCTTGGCTTGTTCTTCATAATCTGTTTTGACTACAATCACATCCATCTGGATAAGTGAACCAGGACACCACTAGTTAAATAGCAGAGCCAGGATAAGACTCAAGTCCTCTTACTCAAAGACTCAGTGTGAGGGTTGCTGAGGTGAATTGCTGTGATTGGATGATTACGTTCAATGTTTGGCTCCACTAGGATTCTCAATTTGGAGTCTGTGTGGGAGATGGTACAGGAAAACTTGAACAGAAGAAGGAATTATGAAGAAGACTTAGAAGGCTTTGCAGTTGGGAAGAAGATTAAAGTTGGGGAGGGAAAATTGGAGAATTTGAAGGAGGAGAAGGATCTGAGATACAGGAGAATGATGGACCCACGGAGGAAGACTTGGGTTTAAGGTGAAGGAGAAGGAGATTCAGGAGGAAAATGAAGTTGGTAGGGCAAAGTCCATAAGATAAAGTAGGACAGAAGCTGGTGGGCCTAGGTAAGAGGTTAGCAAAACAAGGGAAAGGCATTTGGGTGTGGTTGTCAGAGTAAGGTGAGTAAGGTAAGAAGGAAACTATTACCCAAGAGTCTCAGAACAAGCAGGTTGACCTCTTTGCCTCCATTATGTGCCTTTCAGGTCAAATCTACTTCTGCTTCTTGTTCTATCCCTTTTGGCCAAACAGAACATGTCCAATCCCTCTCCGATGATAACCCCTCAGATGCTTGAAGACAGCTGTACCCTATGCCACTCAACCAGAGGACTGAAGTCTTTAAGAAGAAGCTGAATGACCTCTTGTTGGGAATACTATAAAGGTGATTCTTATATATGTTCAGTTCAGATTAGATGCCACTGAGCTCCTGTGGGAACCTCTATTCCACAACAGAGAACTTTCACATAGAAAGATGATGGGGACTCTTGAAGAGGAATCAATCAAAGATATGAGGCCACTGAGGCACAGTCGATAAAGAGCTAGCCTCAGGGTTAGGAAGGCCTAGGTTCACATCTTGCCTCTGAAACGTAGAGTGACCCTTGATATCCCAGTGTTCCAAGCAGCTTTCTAAGAATTTAAGAGTAGGCAAGGATCTGTATTGGTGAGGAGAATTCTTGCTTGAGATTCCCAATGCCAAGGAAAGCAGAAGTCTGGTTCGATAGACAAAGAAACCCAGGCTTGGAAGTGAGTCTGAGGGAGATAAATTGCTGGAATATTTAATGCCCAAAGTAGGGGGTTATATAACAGGGCTTCTAGACAAATTTGGAACTCTTCTTTCTATATTTTGCCACATATGTTCATTTTAAAGTGAATGTCAGTTCAGCTCACATAAAAGCAATCAACTTAAAAAAATACTGTAAAATAAATTTGGATATTTCTCTCTTAACCATTTTTTTTTGGTGTGTGTGTGATGGGTAGATTTCTGGCAGAAAGTTAGTTATATAGCCATTACATAAATAATGCAACACACAACTTCCTTTTACATGTATAAATTTATGGATACTTCAGAACAAGATTTCCCCTTTTGTGGTCTGTGACTGTGTAAACATCTGGAGATGGAATGTTGTTTGCCCTAACAAGCATGGCTTTCTTTTGTTACACTTGAAAATGTACCCAGTACTCTAAAAGTGACAGTCGTGCAATAAACATGAGTCAAGTCTGTCGAATAATAATTTCTGTGTTATAACAAGAGTAGGCTCTGAAACATAAAAATTGTTTTGAAGCAACCTCTTGCTCTTTGCTCAAAGGAAAGTGGGAATAGGGCTGCTGGAATCTGTTTCAGTTCAGCAGCACAATTTTAAGATGCAAACTTCCATCAAGCCATTTGGCAAAATAAATAAATAAATAAGATGCTAGAATGTATTGAGCCTTGGCCATTTCAGTGTATCTTTGTGATAACTTGACTGCAAATTGCTAGGTGGCACAGTGATTAGAGTGTTGGATTTGGAGTCAAGGAGACCTGAGTTCAAATCTTGCCTTAGATACTAACTGGCTATGTGACCCTGGGCAAGTCATTGAACCTCAGTTTCCTCATCTGTATCCATCCAGAGCAGATGTTGTGAATTAAAGCTTTGTTACACATATTTCTTATACCTGTGCCTCACTACTATTATGGTCCAAGTTTAAGGTTATCCCCTCCCGTGGATGCTGTTGTGGGAAGGAGTGAACCAGATTTTAGGAGAATGTTTTGTATTAACGGTCTTTATCATGTTATCTGAGCAAATACCTCTGGTAAAAACTAATTGAGACTATTAGATGACTGTCAATGGGAACTACTTCTTTGGGCATTCAGGACTGACAGTATGAGAAGCCTCTTCCTCCTCCTCCTCCTCCTCCTCCTCTTCCTCCTCTTCCTATGGGGCACCATATCCTTACATGTGGGTCCTATGTTTACAGGAATATAATTTTTGGTTTCTTATATTTTGTAAGATATTTTGGAGTTTGGGGAATAGCTTTTAAAAATATTTATCCATCATTCAATCAATTATTATTATTTTTTAAAAAAACAAGGATAATTTACTTTTTGTCTGCAGTTTTCACTTATGATTTCTTGAAGTAATAGTTCTGGAAAAAGAGGCTTTAAAAAAGCCCATTTGTGTTTCAAATGAAGCTACTTGACTATCCCTTTAAACCCAAATCACTCTGATTTTCATTGAATGGCCAATAATAGCCCCCAGACCAAGGCTCACTGGCTCATTGTTTAGATCTAGGTGGCTTAGAATGAGTGTAAATGGTAATTGTTTTGTCTTCTGGCCAGAACCTTTGAGGTTCTTCCCCTCTCAGAATGATATTTTTGTGATGGTAAATTAAGCCATATTTTGTCTCAATTCTTATTTTGCCCTTAGTCATTGAATGGGTGTGGCCTTGGACAACCTGAGACCTGAGCAAGACCTTAATTTAGGAAGGTCAAGGTCACCATGGCATTCCAGGTCATCACCACTTGTCTTGACTTTTATCTTGCCGCTGGACTCTGATGACTGTGGAGGAGGGAGTGAGACTGATGACTTTGTTCAGCTCTGCCTCACTTAAATCCAATTCATTGTGATCCGATACACCCTCATGATGTCATTGCTCCTCTTCAAGAATCAAGGATGAACAACAACCTTATTCACAGAGATGGGGATAATAATAGCACTTTCCTCTGGGAGTTGTGAAGATCATGTAAGATAACACGTAAAGTGCTTTGCAAATATTAAAGCATTAAATAAGTGCTAGTGACTGGGCGTGGCCCAAGCCAAGGTCTTTGCCCCTTGCCCTAAAGGGAATCTGGCTCCCCTTTTGTCTACAGACCCCAGCTCTTATCTCCCCTTGAAAGCCCTAGCTTACCTTTAGATCTTCTTCAGATGCACCTTCAACCTTTGCCCAGAATAGAATCTGGCTCCTGTTTGTCTATAGGACCGGAAAATCCTTAAACCTTCAAATTTCCCAATCCACTCCCCTCATCTCCCTTTGAAGCCTTTGCCTTACCTTTTAATCTTATTCAGATCTGGCTCCCTTTCATCTATAGGCCCCAGAAAGGCCTTCCTTTATCTCCTTTTGAAAGTCCTAGCCCCACCTTGATTTTGTGCAGATGCCTTTCAAACTTCTGCCTTCCTGTTCTCTCCATTATTTATTCCCATTGTCTACTCAATCTCTCTGACCTCCCCAGTTAGAATTCTTACCTAGACCCTTTTCCCAACCCCCTTCTCTGGCCACCCAAAATTACTTGGCCCTCATTCAGATGCTGAGAATCTCAGGCCCACCAGGCTGAGAACCTCTCATGCCCGCTCGTCTTTACGGGTGTCACCTGGCCTATATGTTTTACCACTAATAAACTTTTCCTCTGGCTGAAGAAGATTTGAGTTGAATTCTTTCAGACAGGGCCTGGTACCACAATCTTAGGGTCCCAGCACCCCAAAAAGCCTAGACCTCTTCACTAGTTATTATTATTTCATTTGCAGGGAGATGCTAGGACTCTATTTACTGCTAGGTGGTACAGTGGATAGAGTGTCTCACCTGGAGTGAGGAAAACATGAGTTCAAATCTAGCCTCAGATACTTACTAGCTGTGAGAGCCTGAGCAAGTCATGTAATCTTTGTCTCAGTTTCCTTATCTGTAAAATGGGTATCATAATAGGATCTATCTCCCGTGGTTGTTGTGATGATCAAATAAGATAATAATTGTAAAACACTTAGCACAGTGTCTGGTACATAGTAAGAGCTATATAAATGTTAGCTATCATCGTCATCATCATCATCATCCATCATCATCATCATTGTCATCATCATCATCGTCATCTTCATCAGCATCCATATCTGGGTTGAGGAAAATTGCAAATGCTGTTGTGTCCATATTAATTCATGATGGCATGCAGTAGAAGGACAGAATAATAAAAACAAACAAACAAAACAGAAGATACCTGTAATCCTCAACCCTGGGACAAACAATTCCAACATTGGAATTTTTTCAGTAATGGCGCTTCGACTACATTTTTCAATGTCGCCATCGTTTTGAATCATATCCACAACTTCGGAAATCCAGGTGGTACCTGAAGCAGAAGGTCAAGGATATAATATCTACCAAATGAACCTACCCAAGTTATTTGGCCAACTAATGATACTCGCAATTTCTCAATTATTCCATTTGAACTTTGGTTGTACTGAGTTCTTTTTGTTGTACTGAGTATAAGAAGTTCCATCATGTCAGTTTAGTGTTTCATTGAGAATTCCCAGTATGAGAATTCACTGTACAGTCCCATCAAGCTCTCTGCCTCACAATGAATCAAATTACAAAGCCTTTACATTGTACAAAACCAAAACTCTCTCTCTTTGGCTCTGCACTCAAGGACATGGCATGATGTTGAGGAGACAATATGTATGTATAGAAGTCAACACCTAAGGCAGATGAAATAAATACAAGGCAATCATGGGTGGAGGCATTGGCAATTCAAGAGAGGCCTCTTGTGGGAGGTGGTACCTGAGCTGGAGAAAGTGCATTCCAAGCATGGAAAAGACAGCCTGTATAGAGGCATAGAATGAGAATGTTGGATATTTGTTGACTGTCCTTCCAACTTCAACCATGTAATATCCCCATTTGTAGGTGTAAGCTAGAAAGACTGGGACCAGCCCTGCTCCTGGGCAGGATATAAAAGAGTGGATAGACCTTCAACTTCTGTGGCTCGGTTTGGAGATACTTCTGCAGTGTCCTGTTCTGGCTTGGTCCTACCAATTGAAAGTAACCAGGCCGAGCATACGGTGACTGATTCTGCCCCAAATCCTCATGATGGGTCCCTCTCTTGCCCTTGTCTCCTCACGCTTAAGTTCCCCCATCATTATCCTGCCCCATAACCCAATTCTTACCTTTCTTCCACCAATCATTCCACAGGCTCAAGAGCCAATGTAAGGGTCATCTAGCAGTGGGCAGGGATCCAGACAAGAGAGTGGTCCACATCAGGGGACTCTATATACTGGGGACTCAGGCTCAGGATCTGGGGCCTAGGAAAATCCATTATGCCCAACCTAACTGGGACATCCCTAGGCTTGCTGTACCTCCCTAAAGCCTGCCTGGCCACCCCAGATCCCTTTCTATTCCCTGTTATTGAAATAATAACAATGAATAATATCCATTGGAAAACATTTATTAAGTGCTTATTTATATTTTATATTGTTATGTATAATTATATATTTAATAAATTATTTTTATCGATAAATATATTTATTTACATTTATATTCACTAAGCACTTACTTATGTGCTAGGCACTATGCTAAGAGCTAAAGATACAAAGAAAGGTAAAAACAGATCCTGCCCCCTAGGAGCTTACATTCAGAGGAGGAAGACACCATGTTAATAACTAGGTCCAGACAAGATGTATCCAGGCCGGATGGAAGGGAATGTCAAATGAAGGCACTAGCAGCAGCAGCGACTGGGGAAGCCCTCCTGGAAGAAGTGGGCTTTGAGCTGATGCTTAAAAGAAGCCAGAGAGGCTAAGAGGTAGAGGAGAGGGACAGCTCCGGGCCTAGAGGAAGATGCTGAACATTGTGTTTAAGGAGCAGCAGGCAGGCCAGTGTTGACTGGACCATAGATTAGATGGAAAGGAGTTAAATATAAGAAGATGAGTAGGTAAGAAAAGGGTCAGGTTGTGAAGGGTTTTAAATGCCAAACAGAAGAGTCTGTATTTGTTCCTGGGAGCAATAGGGAGCCACTGGAAATTCTTGAGAGCAGCTAGGTGGTGCAGTGGATAGAGCACCAGGCTTGGAGTCAGGAAGACTTATCTTCCTCGGTTCAAACCTGGCCTCAGACACTTACTACTGTGTGACCCTGGGCAAGTCACTTCACCCTGGTTTGCCTCAGTTTCCTCATCTGTAAAATGAGCTGCAGAAGGAAATGGAAAACCACTGCAGTATCTTTGCCAAGAACACCCCAAAACGAGGTCACAAAGGGTTGGACACAATTTAAATGATTCAAAAACAACAAAACAATAAACATCAGTAACATGAATAAACCAAGCATGTGAATAATTCAAATCTAGTCTTTAACCATACTCAGCTTTTAGCCCTACTCGCATGGTTGCCGGGGAAGGTATTAGAAGTACATAAAATCCTTTTTTTCCCCCTCCTGCTAAAATATCTATCTTTGCCAGGAAACATGAACCATGGGGGAAGATCATCTATGTTATCTGAAGAGGTCAAGGGCCTGATAAAACGGGGGCATTTCCATGAGAGCTGTTGGTTGGTGGACTTTCCAAAGGCCACCAGACTCACCAGATTTGGGGTAAGTGGCAATCACAATGTCATCTGGCCTCCACTGGAACTTCTCTATTCTCTCCCAGTTGTGTGAAAAGGCATAGACCATGGGGTATCCATGGATACTCTTGGGCTCCTTCCTGATGAAATCTGCCAGGGTGAGCATTCTAGGAGGAGGTGGTGGGGTGCAGAGAGATGAACAGAATACGAATCAGAATCGTTGGTAGGCAACTGGCACAGAAACATGAATTTGAAATGACCACACTGCACTAACAGAATACAAAGGGCGAGTGGGAGTATAGGCAGGTTGTAAACACGGGCAGAGGCCAGGTGACAAATTGAACAAAGGTCTCTGGGAGTGGAAGGGTTAGAATAAAATCAAATAAATATTTCCTTTGAAATTCTTATTGAAATTTCAGAGTAAAAGTCAAGCAGGGAGAATGACATCTTTAGGGATCAGGTGCTTCCTCAAGAGAGACCGTCAGCTCACTACCAGTTTTAGAGGTCTTCTTAAAAATGTTTTTAGGAAAAGACCTTGCCATTAGGAGCAGCTAGGAGGCTGGATACAGTGTTGGGCCGGGAGTTAGGACGACCTGAGTTCAAATCCAGACCCTGACACTTACTAGCTGTGTGACCCTGTGCAAGTCACTTCACCCTGTTGGCCTCATTTTCCTCATCTATAAAATGAGCTGGAAAAAGAAATGGCAAACCACTCCAGTGTCTCTGCCCAAAAAGCACCACCACCAAACGGGGTCACAAAGAGTTGGATATGACTGAAATGACTGAACAATAACTTGTCATTGAAATAACACTCCCACCAAATTCTACTACCATTTCAGACTGCTTGTCTTCATTCAGATGTCTTGATTGTATACGATTTACTTATACGTCATTTGTCCACAAAGAATGAAATGTGATACCTGTTATTCTTCAAGTTGAAAGTCACAGAGCAGATGCCGTAATGCATTGTATACATTAACTCTACATGTGTTATAACTATGAATGTTGCCTCATTTGATCCTAACAACACTTCTAGGAGGATCTCTCCCTTATTAGACTAGGAGCTCCTGGAGACCAGGGACTGGGTTTTGCTTTGTTTTTAGTTTTCCCTTTCTTCTTACCCATCTTCCTGTGGCCAGGGGCCATCAAATCCCATTCCCTCATTTTACAGATGAGGAAACTGAGGCCCAGAGAAAAGAAGTTGATTTGCCCGAGATATCACAGGTAGGAAGTGACAGATGCAGAATTTGAACCTAGGTCTTCTGAATCCAGTAGTTAATCAGGGTTCTCTCCACTCTAACCCAGGAACGTCTTAACCTCCCACTTCAGGTCAACACTCATCTGTTGGATCCAATGTCCTGTTGCTGCCTCATTTGAAGTCAAGGCTGCAGTCATGGGGAGGAGGAGGAAAGTGGCAGCTCTCACAGACTCTGGCTTTTTAGTTTTCCCAATGAATACAAACACTCCTGACAGAGAGCTTCATGCCAGTAACAGGAGGGAGAGCAGCCCTGTCTGAAGGTTGGGCACACGCTCCTTTACTGACGCATTCACATAAACAACCGCACACCCAGGCTGGCTCTACCACCTACAAAACGACTCGGGTTAGGAGCGTGGCTTCCGTTCCCATCCAGCTTGAGGTTTTCTTGGCCACAAAGGTTCCTGAAAATGTGTCTCTTTAATAAGGAACCATCCAGGTACTGAAAGTCTTGATATTCTTTCTCACCAGAAGGTTTCTTTGCGATGTAAATACCTGAGAAGTAGCAATCATTGCTAAATGTGGATGCCTGAGGGCTCTTGGGAAAGCATAACCTATTCACACTTCATTGTTCTGGGTGACCGTTCAGTGAAAAGGATCCCAAATGGAGGGAGAATCAGTTTAAACTCGTCAAAGTCCACATTAAAGGTTAAAAGATATCATTAAAGATAAAAGATATTATTAAAGATAAACTACTTTGAAAGAAATGTAAGTCTATTACTTGCAAACAATAACTGGGATTCAGCTGCCAAAGTAGGTCCATAGGTCTAGAGTCTGTCTAGTTCTACCTCTTTTTTTTATTTTACAGATGAGGAAACTGAGATAAGCATGGGTTAAGTGGCTTGCCCAAGGTCGCACAAATAGAAAATGGCGGAGCCTTATTTCACACTGAAGTACTACACGTGTGGCATTCTTTCCACTGGGTCAGGGTAGCTAGGTGTTGCCATAGTGCATAGAGCACTGGTCTTGTGATGAGGAAGACTCATCTTTCAGAATTCAAGCCTGGCCTCAGACACTTACCAGTTATGTGACCCTGAGCAAGTCATTTCACCCTGTTCGCCTCAGTTTCCTTATCTGTAAAATGACCTGGAGAAGTAAATAGCAAACCACTTCAATATCTCTGCCAAGAAAACCCCAAATGGGGTCATGGAGAATTGGACACAATTGAAATGACTCAGCAGCAATTCCTCTGGGTCAAAGTAGAGACTGCCAGTAAAGCTGCCTTGATGAAGCTATAAAAGAAGGGGCAAAGAAAGGAGACAAGCATTTATAAGTGCCTGCTGTGTGCTGGGCACTGTGCTAAGGGCTGCACGAATGTCATCTCATTTGATGTCATCTTGTAACAACTCTGTGAGTCAGGTGCTTTGTGTTATCCTCATTTTATATTTGAGGAAACTGAGGTAGGCAGAGGTTAAGTGACTTCCCCAGGGTCACACAGCAAGTAAGTGTCCGAGGTAGCATTTGAACTCGTGTCCTCCTCACTCCAGTCCCCATGCTCTATACACTGCCAACAAGTTGCCTCAATGAATAATATAATCAGCATATTCATGGCTTTTCAATAAATGGAGTGTTCAAAGTCATGAAAGACAGTGTATTGCAATGGACAGACAGATTCAAAGCTACAAAGTCCTGTCTCTGTCGTGTGATAGCTGAGTGACTTTGGGTAAGTCAATGAACCTCAACTTCCATTGTAGAGGGAGTTTCATGGGAGTGCCTTAAACCAGTGAAATCTTAAGTCCGGTCCCTATCCCTATCCCTGTTGCTCTGTCTGTCCCTATTCCTATCCTCATCCTTATCCTTATCCTTATCCTTATTCTTACCCCTACTCTTTAAAGTCACATGAGTCATAGATTGAGAGCTTAAAAAGTAGACTCAGGAAGTGATTGGGAAAACTAGAGGCTCACCAACACCTTCAGATGACCCAGAAACATTACCAGTGATACAAACAGTTTCTTAGATGATTTTGTTTTCTTTGACTAAGAAAGTTTCCACTGCCAGATGCCTTAAGCTTCTCCTGGTAGAAAAATATTGTTTAAGAAGCATGGAATTAATGAGTTGATGATATTGGAGTTAAGTCTAAGTACATAGGCACACTGAAATAAAGGCCTCTATGAAAACTATTAAGGGATCCCACCCAAGACAGTCAACAAACATTAATTAAGCACTTACTGTGTGCCAGGTACTGTACTAAAAACTAGAGGTTAAAAGAAAGGCAAAAAAGAGTCCCTGCTCTCAAAGAGCATATGACTGAGTCCAATACAGTCACCGGTAGAATTTGGGATTGATTCAGAAGATTCACTGACAATTGAAAATATCTGTGTAGGAATAAGAATTCCATTTTAATGGATAATAATAATTAATAATAATAATAAAATAATTGTTCCAGATCATAGGATTTAAAGCTGTCAGGGATAATAGAAACCATTTAGTCTGACTCCATCATTTTATGAATGAAGCAACTATGGCCCAAGGTGGTTACTTGACTTGTCCAAATTCACACAGCTGTAGATAGGATTTGAACCCAGATCTCTTGACTTCAAATCCAGCTCTCTTTCCCTGATTTCAAGGCAAACAGAAATATAATTTATTTTTTAAGTTTTACGTTAAGCATTTTTTTGGGAGGCAATTGGGGTTAAAGGACCTGTGCAGAGTCACACAGCTAGTAAATGTCAAGTGTCTGAGGCCAGATTTGAACTCAGGTCCTCCTGACTCTAAGGCTGGTGCTCTATCCACTGCACCACCTAGCTGTTCCAGAAATACAATTCAGAAAATTTACAGGGGAATCAGTATATTTTCCATCAGATGTATGAGAAACTTAAGAATATGCTGTAAGTTTGTACAAACAATACTTGTACTTTGTACTTTGCTTTAGCTCAGTAAAAGAGTTGTTGTTCAGTCATTTTTCAGTCATGTCTGACTCTCTGTGACCCCATTTAGGGTTTTCTTGGCAAAGTGACTGGAGTGGTTTGCCGTTTCTTTCTCCAGCTCATTTGACAGATGAGGAAACTGAGGCAAACAGGCTTAAGTGACTTGCCCAGGGTCACACAGAGAGTGTCTGAGGCCAGATTTGAACTCAGGAAGACTCATCTTCCTGATTCCAGGCTGGCTGTCTATCCAATGCAGCACCACCTGGCAGCCGTACGAAAAAGTAAGGTGTATATGTGTTTATGTATATATACATATATATACACATACGTATGTACATACATGTGTATATACATATGTGTATATGTGTATCTATCCATCTCTCTCTCTATATTGCTTTTTTCTTTCTCTCTCTATTTTTTTTCCCTATCAGACCTACGTTTCCATTGGTGTAGGAAACTCCCTTTGGGGAAACTTCTTCCATCAGCACCCACCGGTCCTGGTATCTCCCCTGTAACATATAATAAAGAGAGTTGCATGGGACATTGAGAAGTTATGTAACTTTTCCAGAGTCACAGAGTTGTGTATGTCAGGGGAAGGAATTAAACTCATCTGAATATGTGTGTATGTACCCATATTTGTATGTATGTGTATATATTTATATAGGGCAGCTTGGTCACACAGTGGATAGAGTGCCCTGCCTGGACTTAGGAAGACTCCTCTTCCTGAGTTCAAATCTGGCCTCAGGCACTTACTGACTGTGTGACCCTGGGCAAATCACTTAACCCTGTTTGCCTCAGTTTCCTCATCTGTAAAACAAGCTAGAGAAGGAAATGGCAAACCACTTTAGGTAAATGTTTAATAGACTCTAGGGAAAGATTTTAAAGACTTTAGGGAAGATCAATGCAATGAATAAATTAAATACAAGAATAATACCCCTAAAGGAGGACTTAGCATAATGTAAAATGTAGCATAACTTCATCACACAATGATGTTGATACTGTGTACATATTCCCCTGGTTCTGCTCACTTCACTTTGTATCTGTTGTAGTATAACTCTTAAAAAACCCCTCGATTTTCTGCTTCTTCTCTCCCTGCCTCCCTTCCTCGATCCTACTATGTCCTTCTCTGCCCTGTACTCACATACATTCACACACACACACAGAGCAGCTGTTGATATAAATTTTATAGTCAATCTCTTGGAAAGGGTTATAATGGCAGAGTGGGGGTTGGGTGTTAGTTACCAAAGTCTGGCTGTCTACAAAAAGGGACCTGAGATGCTCAGAAATAAGGCACAGTGGGAGAATGCTAGATATGGAGAGCCCAAAAATCAATTATTGGGGCCTCAGTTTCTTTATTTGGCTGTATTTATGGCCTACAGGGGCCACTCCAGGAATTGTGTGAATAGGACTCCCTTGTAAAATTCCTGTGACTCCAGGATGCGTATGACTCAATGTTGAAAAATGATGAAAACCCTGGGTGGTCCCTTAATCCTTTCCCCCACCCTGTGACATCATTAGCATGGTCAGATATTGCATCAGTTAAAAAGAAGAGCCAGCTTCTGATTAGATTTTTTCCTTTGACTCTCCTGTGTGGTAAATGATTCTCTCTGTCACCAGACTTTTAGTAAAGGATTAGGGGAGATCAGTGGTGTTCTTTGCTAGGAGTGTGGCCACTCCTAGGATCATGGCTCAAGCAACCAGGAGAGTTTACCTCTGGGCCTCTGGCTGCCTTTTCCTCTTTCTGTTTCTTTTCCAGAATAGATGAATAAACATTGTTTTCTAGATGGATGCTGTCTAGACCTAGAGGTGATCTTGTGAGCTTGAGATGTGCTGGGTCCATTGGGTGAAGCTGGCTGGCCTAAGGGAGTTTCTTTATCAGAAAAGATGACCACTGGCAGGACGATGTTTTGGGAATTGTTTGGACAGTGCAGAAAAAAGGTGAAATGTAGCTATGCCTGTTCAGTGGTCCAAACTGTTCATGCTCCTATGTTTATAACTCAACCTCGCGATAGAGGATGATAGCACAGTTATCCCTTGAAACTCATGACTTTCCCCATCATGGTTTTGATATATCTTGAGTCAGTATAAGAAATTAAATGGGAATTTTTTCGGAGTCTTGTGGAAGTAGCAGATGACATGTGAAGGCCAATAGATGACACAGAGCCTATGACCAAATAGTTAACCCACATTTTACAATAAGGTACTGTAAACGCCCCATAAAAGAAAAAGAAAAAAAATTCAGACTTCTCCAATATGAAGGGAGGGCCAAAAAAATTTTACCCAGATTTTCCAGATCAGGGGGGTGCCATGCCCCAACCCCCATGATGTAGAAGGGATAACTTGTTACTGGAGTCTTATCAATGTGTGCTGTAAGTCTTTTTGTGTCTTTTAGTATATACATTTTTTTTTGTTAGTAGGAAATAATTATTTGTCCTATAACTGATTGTTGTTGTAAATTGAATATCTTTTTATTCCTCTTTTGGAGAGACCATAGATATGAATTGCAACATGAGCTCTGAAGAATTCTTCCCAGGAGCACCAGGGTGGAGTTTTAAGCAGCTGAAGAATTTAAGGGAAAAACTGCCCTCTTGTTAGAGGGCTGGCTCCCCCACAATTGAACCTAGCTTGGCCTGTGTCCCTGGCTCCAGAGTAGCCCTTAGTGGAAGGCAATAGGAAGGGAGGAATCACTGTTGCTTCATGCTAATTGCAAAATGAGGAAGCTGCAGCCAATGAACTCTAACGTCTTTCAACTCTGAATCTAGAATTCAAAATTCCTGGAGATGCATTGTGCCCATCAAAACAGGAGTCACACTTAGAGAGAGCCTGAGGGATCCCAGTCAGTAGACTAGTTCTGAATTCTGCAAGGGCTACTTTGAGATCACAGGAAGTACATACACTGAATGAAAATCCATTTAGCAGCTCTGGACACACAGCAGGAAACACCAAGAAAATAGAAAAATTGACAAACCTTAGTGCAGATTTCCTCGTTCTCTTTCTCAGGCAGTCATCAACAAGGGAGCAGCAGTCATAGCCGTGGGGTCGGCAGTCAGGGTGAATTGAGCAGCCTCACTAGAAAAGAATAAGTTTTGGGGATCTTTGGTGTTAAAAAACAAAACAAAACAAAACTGAAGAGTCAGTTTGTATTGTAAGCAGTGTGTGTTAGACAATGAGCAGGCAGGCCCTACTGTTTCAACATCTGGCAGAGTGAAGAAGGAATGAGAAGGAAATGCAGCTGGGAGGTGGCCAGTGGTGAACAAAGGCACAGCCTGCTCAGATTTGAGTCATGGGGGCTCAGACAGTGTTGGCAGAAAATTGCAGGGATTATTGGCCTGAACTGCTATTGTATATGCAAGGGGAAAGGACTTGCTTCTTCATAACTGATTCCTTTTTTTTCCCCAGGTATTTGGGGATAAGTGACTTGCTCAGGGTCACACAGCTACTCAGTGTCTGAGGCCGGATTTGAACTCGGGTCCTCCTGAATCCAGCGCTGGTGCTCTATCCACTGTGCCAGCCAGCTGCCTCCTATATCTACATCTCAAGTACGCTCCTTTTGCTTGGGGCTCTTCTAAACCTTTTCTCTAAGAGGCAACAGAGTATAGTGGGAAGAGTACCAGCTCTCCTCTTCTCAGGGGACTTGGGTTTGAATCTCTCCTCTGATACAGTGCCACCTTGGGCTTAATCTCCTTGGCCCTAATTCTCCTTGTCTGCACAGTGAGAAGATAAGACCAGATGGGCCTGGAGCTTCCTGCTAACTCTACATCTGTGATGCTTAATCTTTCTTCACCACCGCTTTCTCTGCCCCCTTTAAATGAGGACCTCCTCCCATACCTCATCCTTTTTATTGGGCTTTAAGGTTTGCAAAGCACTTTACAAATATATTGTTTGATCTTCACAACCACTCCTATACTATTATCATGTTTATTTTTTCTACTTTTTGGTTAGGCAATGGAGTTAAGTGACTTACCCAGAGTCGCTCAGCTAGTGAGTATTATGTGTCTGAGGCCAGATTTGAACTCAGGTCCTCCTGACTTCAGGGTCAGTGCTCTATCCACTGCACCACCTAGCTGCCCCCGCCCTCATCTCTTCTTGCCTACATCTCAAAACCCCTTGACATCATCCTTCATCCTCTTATTTGTTATAGTGTCTGATGAAGATGCTGGCCTATTGAAGGCCTGAGCGCCAGCCCCTTGTACCTCTGACCTCTCGTCTCCTTTGGCAGATCCCGTAATCAGCCCTCCTCTGTCTAATCTTCAGTCTCTTTCCACCTACTGACTCTTTTTCTGCTGTCTACATCCATGCCCAGGTCTTCTCCATCCTTATTTTAAAAGGGTTTGACAACTGCCTGGCACCTTGGGATTTGTAGTTCACAGGGGCCGGCATTCTGACCCAGAATATCATTAACACTTCTAGCCTCCTGGGTCCTCTGTAAGTTCGGGTTTAGAAAGGCAAGGCTAGAGTTTTGATGAGGATTATGATGAGCCCACCTGGCAGCTCGCACTTGGATAGGGACAGATGGGTCAGCAGGTCACAGAATAGCAAGGAATGCCTGAATAATGAGCAAGGGGGTGGCCCAAATGACGATGTGCCTGGGGAAGCCGCGCCAGACCGTCATGGTAATGTCTACTCATGCATGTGGTTCCTTACACGCATTAATGCACAGATTAATGATTCCCTATTCAATGTGCTTCTGTTTCATGATTATTTTTCTCACTTATATTTTCTCTGTATTAGCATTGTGAATGTATAGCATAGTTTGTTAAATAGGTTTTTTTTTAAGCTATGTGCTCATAATCTATTTTTGGAAGGAAAGGAGAATGGGTATATACATATATATAGCACCTACTGTGTGCTAGGCACTGGAGGGACAAAGTGCATTTATGTAATACCTACTATGTACCAGGCACGATGCTCAGCACTGGGGATACACAGTAAGGAGAAGGGGGAGTGGAATGAAATAAACATTTATAGAGTGCCTACTATGTGCTAAGCAGGATGGTAAAGCACTTTATAATTATTATACAACAGTCCAGGGAGGTAGGTACTATTATTGACACCATTTTACAAATGAAGAAACTGAGGCATGCAGAAGTGAAGTGACTTGCCCAGGGTCAACAGCTCATAAATGCCTAAGGCTGGGCTTGAACTCAGATCTTCCCTGAGTTCAGACCCAGTGCTCTGTGCACTCTGGTGTCTCCTAGCGGATACCATTTTAGGTATCTCGCATAGGTCACAAATGTCCTATTAATTTTGTTTGCTCTTCCTTTGTGTTACGCGGATATGCAGAGACACATCCATATAATATATGCTACGTGAAATTCAGACCCATAGTCACTGAAACAGCCTGTCAAGGGATGTCCTCAAAGTGGGTAGAGCTGATAGTCAGGAAGACTTGAACTCAAATCCGGCCTCCTTACACTGGCTAGCTATGTGGCCCTAGGGATGTGACTCAGTTTCCTCATTTATAAAATGGGTATAATAGCATTTACTTTCCAGGGCTGTTGCGAAATTTTTATTTATTTATTGAAATATTTATTTGCAATTTGCAAAGCTTAAAAGCTTTACTGAAATGCTAGCTAGCCATTGTTAGTGCTGTTATTATTATTACATGTGTTGTTGATGTGTATTGCTGTGAAATGGCCCTTTATAGCCTTTTCCCACATCATTCACCTGATATTCTGGGTTAGGCTCAAAGCGGGCCGCTTGCTGTCTTGCCCACAATACATTCAGTCTCTGCGTCCCGTGGCCCAAGGCCGAGGAGAGAGTCCACTTCCCCTTTCTCCCAGCCTCTCAGAATTCCTGTGTTCCTTCAAAACTCCCCACGAGCCCCACCTCCTGCATGAGGCTTTTCCCGGTCTCCCTGGATGTGAGTGCTCCCCCACTCCCATATTTATTATATGTGTTATATGTTATATTATATCTATGTATATCTATGTATACACACATAGATGCACACACCTGTTGTCTCTCTGGTAGAATGTAAATGGTGAAAAGAACACAGGCTCTGGGACCAGAAAAGCTGCATTCTCAGCTCTGAAATGAAGAGGGGGGGGATTAGATGAGGCCCCTCCCACCTCTCAGTCCAGGATTCTCCCCAGGGGCTGGGGCGGTTTGCATTTTGTCCTTGTATTTCTCATGCCTCACACAGTGCTTGGCACATCAGAGGTGCTTGGCATTTTTTGTTTGAATAATTGAATGATTGATGAGAATGAGCGACAGTAATGACATCACCCTTTGGTGCTCACTATTGGGACACCCCTCATCTGGCCTCCAGGACTTCATAGGAAAGAGTTCACTCTAAGCATGATTGCACTGACTTTGTGAGTCAGAAAAGAAATGGGCGTAGAGAGACAGTGCATGACTTTCCCGTGTCAAAAAGTACAGAAGGCAGAGAGTGGGAGGAGATGCAGGAAAACTGACTCCAGTGCTGCCGGGATCAGAGCAGTCAATGTGTTTATTAGGCTTACAGGTTTGGGGGTCAGGTGGCTCCTGGTGCCCTCTGTGTCCCACAGGGCATCGTACGAGGGGGCTTATACCCAAGTGAGTGCTTATATGGGATTCTAACTACTGGGGAAACTATGTGGGTCAGTAGTGAGCCCACCGATGAGGTAGCAGAGGAGCAAAGGACGGATTTGAGGAGCCACGGCAGGGAGATGTGATTTTGGAAAGAGTCCCTGAGGAAAAGACATGATGTGCTGCCTGTATGCTAAGTCTTGTACACCTGGCTGACGGGTTGCCTCAGGACAGTCTGGTCAGTTTTGCTCAGGAGTAATCATGTGGCCCCACTCTAGTACAATTGAACCTAGTAGGCCAGTAGGGTTTAGCAGCCTGCCTATATCTACCTTCTTGTAACCCCCTGCTGTCAGGGTTTACTCCAGCTGGCTTTGGTCAATTCGCATTTATTAATTAAACTAACTAAAATTAATTATAAAATGAAATTCAGGTGGCTCTTACATATTATGAATTTCTGATCATGTCGCTCACAATGAAAAAACATGGCCACTTATAAACTTAGACAACACCCTTATTTCAAATGTAGATGAAGAAATAGAAACCCAAAGAGGTGACTGACTTGGCTGAGATCACACCCTGAGTTCATGGCAGTGCTAGGCTTAGAGTCCAGGTCTCCTAACTCCTGGGGCACTGTATTTTTCTCTAAACAATACTTTATGGAAAACGTGGGGTTGGTGATCCCCAAAGAACTCTCTTTGTGCGGAAATGGAGCTCAAGTATGAACTCAAGTTACTGTGTCTTGGCTTCGAGTAATGGCAGAACAGCCGGAGTTGGTGGAGTAAACACAACGTGTCACCACGTGTAACTAAAGAAACACCTCGTGCTTTTTGTCCTAATAGGTATTTCTTCCTTGTAGTTCATTTTCTGTGCAATATATCATTGATATCCTGTTTATGCAGATGTTTCATTTACTGCAATTAATTATCTAAACAACATAGCATTTAAAACGTTCAGAGCAGATGTTTCTTGTATATATTTATGTCCTGTTAATGTAGCCAGCCAGAATAGAGTAAGCCATTTTTTTAAACTTTGATTTCCTGTGGAAAAGAAATCCTATAGTAAAATCTGAGGGAACTGTGCTCCGATATTTGTCTTTGTGTATCCCCTTTGCTGGGCAGCTAGGTGGGCTTGGAGTCAGGACTCATCTTCATGAGTTCAAATGTAGTTTCAGACACTTTAGTACCTGCGTGACCCTGGGCAGGTCATTTACCTCTGTTTACCTCAGTTTCCTCATCTGTCAAATGATGTGGAGAAGGAAATGGCAAACTACTCTGGTGTCTTAGCCAAGAAAATCCCAAAAATGGGGTCATGAAGGGTCAGACATGATTGAAAGTACTGAACAACAAAATCTTCCTTTGCTTATAAGTTAAAATTTTGTTGACTGACAAGTGTATCTCTTGAGTTTTTGTTTCAGCTACTTCAATACTGCCATTAGGACAGCTAGGTGCCATGGTGGATACAGCACTGTACCTGTAGTCAGGAAACTCATCTTCATGAGTTCAAATCTGGCCTCAGACACTTAGTAGCTGTGTGACTCTGGGCAAGTCACTTCACCCTGTTTGCCTCAGTTTCCTCATTTGTAAAACTAGCTGGAGAAGAAAATAGCAAACCACTACAGTGTCTTTGCCAAGAAAAGCCCAAATGGGGCAGCTAGGTGAAGTAGTGGTTAGAGCACTGTCCCTGGAGTCAAGAGGACCTGAGTTCAAATCTGACCTCAGACACATGATACTTACTAGCTTTGTGCAAGTCACTTAACCCTAATTGCCTCATCAAAAAAACAAAACCAAAAACCCGAATGGAGTCATGAAAGGTCAGACACGACTGAAAAGACTGAACCACAATCCTGCCACGGCTTGAAGACCGTCTGAGGTCCAGTGACATCCCTGGCTGTATCCTTTCTTTCAAACTCCTGTCCTAATGGTTTGGGTCAGCAGTGTGTCAAGCCTAAGGAAGTCACAGTTTTTTATGCCCTGGGCTTTTATTTTCAGGCCACCAGGAAGCTGCATCAATAGTCTGAGATTTAACCCCCCCGCCAATTAATTCTTGAGGATGGTTTCATTCCTTTTTAGGGAAAATGTAGCATAGCCTGCATAGAGTAACCACAGTGGCATATATTTCAAAAAATATCTGGTGACTTAAAATTCTATTGCTTTACTTCATTCTTACTGCTGCAGTCCTTATGAAGGTGGGGGTGGGGTGAGGGCTGGGCAGATCTTAGTGTTTAGCATCATAGACCGTTAATTTTGGTGCTGGAAGAGTGAAGCATAGAGACTGGGGGGGAGGGGCTGGTTCCTGTTCCCCACCTCCCCAAGCATTAATTCCCCTTTGGCTGTGGCTCTGTCTTCCCTTTTCTCCTTCTCTCTTTAGTCATTTCCCCCTTTCTCCATGTTCCTTATTTTAGGGTTAGTGTAATGTTTCATCAAGGGAATGAAAAATGGGTTTGAGGTCCTTATACCAGGCTGCCAGACTATGGGAAATTAAAAAAATTTTTTAATTGCCCCTGTAGTGGCCCTGGTACATGATAAAGAACTCCTTAAATCTGCTATCTTGACTCGGTATTTAAATTTTTCAGGTGCAAAGATTGTGGATTGGGTTGGCTGCCATTTTGGACCCTGAGAAAGAAGTCAGAGCATTAAAGACAGACCTCAGGTCTTTCATCAGGGACCTGGAGGGCCCTTCCCTTGGTGCCGTAACTATTTCCATGGTCTCTAAAATTCATTGAGCAAAATTGATATTGCTGAAGCCTAAATAGACCAATAGAACCCAGGGGACCCATGGCAACCTGATTACATCCATCTCATGTGGAGGGAGCAGGGTCTGCTGACTTAAGTTTCCATATGAATTTACTGTCATGGAGGACTCGTTCTTGCCTTGTTCCTCTAGAGTCTGGGCTGCGTGGCCTTGGAAGTATGGCGGGGGCTTGGACTGAATGACTTTCTAGTATGAAAAAACAAAGGCAGCAGCAAATGTGCATCCTGACCGCCCAAGAGCCAAGAGGAAGAGTGCTCTGTGTTTGACAATGGCTTCCACATTGTATTATTAATCATTCCTTTTCCTGGGCTGGTTTCTTTGCAAAGCCATGAGATAAGGAGGATGGAGAAATAATTAGGAAGATCTTTGGGAAATTCTTAGTATAACTGTAGAATAAACCTGAATCTCAATGCTAAAAGATGTATGCATTTGGGAGAGAGCTATGAATGTCAGATTTGGAATGTTTATTTACACATGTCATTAAAATTTTATAAAACTAATTTGGCCATTCACAGCACAGTAGAACAGAGCTAAAGAAGAAAGAAGAAGTTGCCATAGGCATGAATCATAATAATTTTATGTAGAAGTTTAATCAACGTAAGCAAACGTCTGGAACAAGAAGACAAAAACGTCCTAAAAACACATTCGTCATCGAGCAATTGACTTACTTACTAAGTAGCCTAATGCAACACCACTTTAGAATGTAAACTAGTTTATGAAATCTTAATAGAGAAGAAGGGTAGAAGGCTATGAACTGGGGATAATAAGTCATCAAATGGAGGCAATGGAGTGTGAAACCCATGTACCGAAAGCTTGGTAAGAGATCCAAGTAAGCAAAGGTCTCCTGAGGCCATTTAAGCATCAAAACTGAAGAGCAAACAGAAGAAAAATGTAGAAGATCTGCAAAGATTTTTATAAAAAATCCTCTTCACCATTGAGGAAAGTAAAGACGTCATACTTGGACTGTAATATCAGTCTTTAGAAATGGCACTAAAGAGAAAAAGATAGAGGAACGCACCTTGATGAGAGCAAATGTACAAAAATGAGATTTATGTTGGAGGCCACACAATGTGAAGGTATGAGGGGACTGGAAAATATGAAGAAATGAATGAATGAAAAAGTGAAGTGTTTACTATGCGCTAAGCACCAGCAATACAAACTGAAAAAGTGGCTAACCCTGTTCTCAATGAACCTCCCTCTGATTAGGGGAGACAACATATACAAACACATACACATGCACACACACCTACATATGTGTGTGTATATATATATATACACGTATATGTGGGGAGAGAGAGAGAGAGAGGGAGAGAGAGAGAGAGAGAGAGAGAGAGAGAGAGAGAGAAGAGAGAGAGAGAGAAGAGAGAGAGAGATTCCAATGAAGAAAGACCTCGGAATCCTAAGAATTTGCTGATGGGGTATATGGAAAGGCCTAGGCATTCCTAGGTCATACTGGTAAGTCAGACAGAAAGAGCGCTAAAAGTTTTATGGTAAGGGTATAAGGGTAGATAGTAAGGTACAAGGTACTTCTATTTCATCAGGAAGAATAGAATTGTATAATTATACAATATATAATATTACATGTAATAATTACATAATATGATATAATATAATATATGACAATATAATGTAGTGTAATATAATATAATAAACTTTTATATTACTAAGCCACGTGAGTTTCAAGGAGGCTGGGCAAAGGTGGGTGATGTTTTTCAGTGGTGGTGAGTCTTCCTGCTGCCTGCCATCTCAAATGGGTTTTAGCCAATTCCAGGGCCAGGCAAGGGGATGATGAAGGAAGACATTGGGGAAAGGGTCACCCTCATGTTGGTGAATCAAAAAAAAATACCAGAAATGAGGAAAAAAGTCTCAAGCCTTTAATAGCAGTATCACCGTCTTGGGAATATGTGATAGAGTGTCACTTCCTGTATCCCCTACTTCAAAACAGGGGCAGACATACTCTGACCACTTCCTGTCAGTCATTATAACTGGCTGCTGAACTGGAACTCCATGGCTATGCTAAAGGAGTAATCCCTGCCACTCAGACCTGTTTTTCTTTTCTTTTTTTTTTCTTTTTTAGGCAATTGGGGTTAAGTGACTTGCCCAGGGTCACACAGTTAGTAAGTGTCAGGTGTTTGGTCTGAGGCCGGATTTGAACTCAGGTCCTCCTGACTTCAAGGCCGGTGCTCTATCCAGTGCGCCACCTAGCTGCCCCACAATCAACACTTATTAAGCACTTATAATGTGCCAGGCACTATGCCAAGCGCTGGAGATATAAAGAGAGATAAATGTCCCTGACTCCAAGGAGCTTACAATCTAATGGCCAAGCTAAGTTTCCCTTATGAATTACTGTATACTCTGGGTGCTGTTCTTTAATGGGAACATAAGGACTGGGTGAGAGAGAAGTTGTTTGGTGAACAGCCTGGATTTGCTTTTCCTTGGCAGCCCTTTCCTGATTCAGAGTCAGACCCCAGGTGAATACACACTCTCTCTATCCCAACTGAAGTACCTATGCAACATAAAACCAATTCAAAAAGGGGTAGGATGGTATCAAAAAATACTGGTTTAGTCTTTGTACCCAACCATGATTTAAGTTATTCACATAGGGTAAGAATGGGGGGAGAAAAACGTGGTCAATTAAAAACTACTGATCAGCACAATGCCTAACCATAACTTCAGGGCCCAGTGACAAAACATGCTACCTACCTACGAAGAAAAAAAGGGTTCAAGGTGCAAAATGAGACACAGTCAGTTAGTGAATATGTTTTGCTTGGTTAAGCATATTTATTACTAGAGTTCTCCCCCTCATTTGGAGGGAGTGGGGAAGGAGACAGCAAGATGGGGTAGAGAGAAAATAGATGTGTTAACTGGAAAGAATTAAATAAAATTAAAAAAACTATTGATCAGAAGTTGGATAGGAGCTGGTTTGCTTAGGAATTGCCCAAATTTTTGACTCTGTTCTTTTATGCAATTACCCTTATTTGAACCATCAAGGTAGTTGCTTTTATTTTCTAGGTTAAGAAAACAAAACTCTTCATTAGAGATATCTGTTAAAATGAAATTGCAACAAATCTATTTATGCATAAAAACCCATATTTTTTTCAAATTTCAGTTCGGAACTTCAGAGTTGTTCCGCTCATCTTTTTCTCATAATCTCCATCAAATTTTTCATTTTGTGCCACAGTGAAGTAGTTCTTCCAGTCACCAGCAATCCCTGAAGACCAAAGGAAAAAAAGGTAGATGAAAATACCAACCACTTGTGAGAGTATTGAGGAGGAGGAGGGGTCAATGATACTTGGAGGAACCAAATAATATTTTAATAAATGTTAACAATTACTTCTGACCATCATTATGACTACAGGAGGAAAGCCATGCTATCTCTCCTTAGGCTGAAATGAGAGGAAATGAAGTTCAAAAAAGGTTGAGGCAGCTAGGTGGATAGAGCACTGGACCTAGAATTAGGATAAGCTCTGAGTTCGAATGTGTCCTCAGATGCTAGCTCTGTAATCTTGAGCAAATTACTTACCTCTTTGCATCTCAGTTTCTTTAACTGTAAAATGGGGCTAGTAATAGCATCTACCTCCCAGGATTGTAAAGTACTTTGCCAGTCTTAAAGCACTATATAAAAACAACAGCAATAGTAATAATAACAATGATGATAATAATTCCGGTTCTTTTGCTTATAAGATGTGTGATCTTGGACTAAATGCCGACGGGCATTAAGTTTCCACATGCACAGAATAAGAAGATTAGACTGGACGACCTTTAATTTCTCTTCCCAATATAAATATTTAGATTTACACTTTCAAGCTTATTTTTTAGGCTTTCCAACTTATTTTTATATTTATTTATGATCTCCAAACTATTTGGAGAGGTAGCTTCTGTAGTGGATGGAAGGTCACTTTGGAGTCAGGAATAGTTGTGTCACCATGGACAAGGTATTTAATGTCTCAATGCCCCAGACAACTCATTTAAACCATAAATGACAAATCAGTGAAGCACTAAGCTGTATTGGTGGAGGGCCTCTCCATGTGGGGAGTTCCCCACATTGCTAAAATTGTAGGTCTGAACCAAAAAAGGTAAAAATGGAGATACTCACCCTTGCGCATAAAAGGAGAGATACTGTGATCCATCAAGGTAGTTGGCAGTAAGCTGTAATTCACCATGGAGTTCTCTTTCATTGCTTCGAAGGAGGTGTGTTGGACAATTCTGTCCAAGGCCTCTTCATCCCATTTCTTCCCTAGGAATTGCATCACCTTCCGAATTTCCCTCTTTGGGTCCTGTGGACGCAGAAAGATGAAGGTCCTCAGTAGTATGGTGAACTACATTTAAGCTAGTTAAAGAAAAGTTCTGTGATTTTAAAATCTGTAACTCCTTCTAATTTCTACTGTTAAGTAGAATTTCTACTGTTAAATATACTCTTGTTTGATCAACAACGTAAATATTTATCAGCGCATTTGATTCTAAATCATGTGGATTCCCATAGTAAGATGATTATTCAACAATCCTTATCAAGCTTTATGGACTTGATATGTTTAATTTAATCTTTATATCTCAGGCGGGCCACAAAGTTACACAATGATAAAAAAGGGAAAATACATAAATTAATTAATTTTTTAAAACTTTTTTTTTCTTAGGCAATTGGGGTTAAGTGACTTGCCCAGGTTCACACAAGTAGTAAGTGTTAAGTGTTTGGTCTGAGGCCGGATTTGAACTCAGGTCCTCCTGACTTCAGGGCCGGTGCTCTATCTACTGCACCACCTAGCTGCCACAATTTATTTTTTAAAATTAAAAATCAATTTTAAAATTTAATAAATATCTACTGGATTAAAAAATAATCAGAAACAATTTGTTCTCATTTGATCTATGTTGGGTGCTGCTTTTGGAGATGGAATGCACATTGTATTCTCATTTCAATTATTCTGCCTTCCATAAGGATAAGCTTCCTCATTTTCCTCTACTATTAATGTTTTAGGAAGGCAGTCAGATGTGGGAGAAAGCTGGATGCAATCAGAGTGGTTCAGTGGAGAGAGAGGGGGCCTGGAGCCAGGAAGACCAGGGCTCAGATCTCGACTCTGACACTAGCTCTTTTTTATGTCTGTGTGCCTTTCCAACCTGAGCACTTTTCAGTCCCGTTAATCCCAGGAGTTGCATTGTGGTGCACTTTCAAGATGGGCAGACAGGTATTGAGGACCAGGGAGGGCATTGTTCTGGATCCCCCTGAAGGAAGGAAGACATCATCGATGGCAACTCCTGTGTCACCCACAGTATCCTCTTTCATTCTCTAAGACACATCAGGATGGTGAGGTCTTGATTTGCAGCTGAATTGGATTTAAGTGAGGCAGAGCTATGCCTCACTCTCTCCTCCAGAGTCATTGGGGTCCAGTGGCAAGACATAGGTCAGGATGACTGGTGATGGCTCCAGTGGATCTCCAGTGGGAGACCTTGCTTGGCCTTTCACTAGTTATGTGACCTTTGCTAAATCACTTGATCTCTCCAAGCCTCAGTGTGCTCATCTATAGAAGGAGGATTTGGGACCAGAGGTACTCAGATTCCTTCTAGCTTTAAATGTATGATTCCATGAATTGAATCAGGAGATGCATTAGGGTTCTTTCACCTAGTAGTTGCACAAGCCTGGGAAGACCGTATCCAGTTCGTTTAGTTTACTAGATGTTTGAGATAGACATTGACATGCTCAAAGTCACACAAGTAATAAACGTCAGAGTTGGGATATAAACCCAAATCCTTTGATTTCTTTTTTTTTCTTTTTTTAAAATTTATTTTATTAATTTATTTTGATTTATCAATAATCACTTCCATATGCTTTTGAGTTTAAAATTTTTCTCCCCCTTCCTCCCCACCACCCTCCCCAAGACGGCACACAATCTGATATAGGCTATACATTTACATTCCTATTAAACATATTTTCACATTAGTGAAGTTGTAAGTAAAAATTAAAACCAATAGGAGGAACCATCAGAAAGAGGAAACAAAACTCAACAGAAGAGGAAAAAGAAAGATAACGATTCAACTTTCACAGTTATGATTACTATCTGTGTCTTTTTCTCCATCCTTTTTCCCCTGTTTATGCTTTTCTTTCTCCTTTCTCCTTTCCCCCCTCACTAGTGTTTTGCTTTTGACCACTGCCTCCTTCAGTCTCTCCTCCCTTCTATTATCCCTTTCCCTTTTCTTCCCCTTTGCCCTTACTGCTTCTTCCCTCCCTTCTATCCCCCTCCCTTTTCTTTCCCCTTTTCCCTCCTACTGCCTATAGGGCAAGTTAGATTTCTATACCTAACTGATTATGTTATTCCCTTCTTGAGCCAAATCTGATGAGAGTAAGGTTCAAACAATGCTCACCCCTCCCTTCTTTCCCTCTGCTGTAATAGGATTTTCTGTCTTTTCCTGTAATGTAATTTACCCTTGTCTGCCTCCTCCTTTCTCAGTACATTTTCTAAGATCAGACTAATCCACTTACTTGGATCCATTTAACCCACTTGATTAGATTTTTTTTATCATTACATCAAAGTCAACTAATATCCACCCCCTTTATGTATACTCCTTTAACATGGTGTAATAATACAGTTCTCAAGAGTTGCAAGTGTCATCTTCCCTTGTAGGGATGTAAACAGTCTGCCCTTATTAACAACATTTTGTATCTTTCTGTCCCATTTACCTTTTTATGTCTTTCTTGAATCTTGTACTTGAAGATCAAATTTTTTGTTGAGCTCTGGTCTTTTTATCAGGAAGGTTTGGAAGTCCCCTATTTCATTGAATATCCATCTCCTCCCTTGAAAAATCATGCTCATTTTTGCAGGGTAGTTGATCCTTGGCTGCAATCCAAGCTCCTTTGCCTTACAGAATATCATGTTCCATGCCCTGTGGTCTTTTAATGTAGAAGCTGCAAGGTCCTGTGTAATCCTGACTGTGGTTCCATGATATTTAAATTGTTTCTTTCTGGCTGCTTGCAGCACCTTCTCTTTCATCTGGTAATTTTGGAATTTTGCTATTATATTCCTTGGTTTCAATTTGGGATCTCTTTCAGGTGGTGAGTGTATTCTTTTTATGGTTATTTTACCTTCTGGTTCTAGGACTTCAGGGCAGTTTTCCTTTATGATTTCCTGAAAGATACTGTCCAGGCTCTTTTTTCATCATGATTTTCAGGTAGTCCAATGATTTTTAAATTGTCTCTCCTGGATCAGTTTTCCAGGTCAGTTGTTTTACCGATGAGGTATTTTATGTTTTCATCTATTTTTTCATTTTTTTGTTTCTGTTTGACTGATTCTTGCTCTCTCATAGAGTCATTAGTTTCCATTTGTCCAATTCTAGTTTTTAACAGATTGTTTTCTTCTGTTAGTTTTTGTACTTCCTTCTTCAATTGGCCAATTGTATTTTTAAGGGACTTGTTTTCTTCAGTGTACTTTTTTTCCAATTGGCCAATTGTATTTTTTAAGGACTCTTCTACCTCTCTCATTAGACTTTTAAAATCCTTCTTGAGCTCTTCTAAGAAGGCTTTTTGGGCTTCAGACCAGTTCATATTCCCTTTTGATGTTGCAGATGTGGGTTTGTTGACAATGTCCTCTTCAGAATTTCTGTCTTGATCTTCACTCTTATAATATGAATCTATGGTACGTTTCTTTTTACTCATGGTTTCTTTATTCCCTGGCCTTTAAAGAGATTGAGCTCTTCTGCTGAGGAACAGAGGGCACTGACCCAAACTTCTTGTGTTGGGAGCCTAGGTCTTGGTCACTGGCTTTGTGGGCTGGGGCCTCTTATGTTGGCAATTGGAGGCTGTAGGTTGGCAGCTTACCTCATGTTGGGCTGGAATCAGCAAGGCTGGAACTTTCAGGCAATTCTAGGTTGCCTGCTTTTCCTTTCCTTTAGCTTTCTTCAGCTCCTTTTAGATGTGTGCTGCAGGGTGTTTATCTGCCTGGGGCCCCTTGCAATGCTGCCTTCCTAGTTTCTGCTAATGCATTGGGAGATTCCTTTGTGGTAGAGTGCCAGGCGTCTGGTGGTTTTCTGAGCTGGTTTCCACCGGTTCCACTGCCCTCACTGAGGCACTCGGAGGTCCAGGTGTTGGTGTTTCCTTGCTCTGCCACCTGGGCTTCAGGATCTCCTCCTGGTTGACTGTAGGCTGTAGGGTTCTGACAGCTTACCTGGTGTTGGGTTGGAATCAGCAAGGCTGGGACTTTAGGAAGACTCTAGGTTGCTTCCTTCAGCTCCTTTCAGATGAATGCTGCAGGGTGCTTATGCTGGGGCCCTTTGTAGTGCTGCTTCCCTTATTTTTGCTGAGGCACTGGGAGACCTGTTTGCTGGACTGCTGCACTGCTGTTCCCTGTCTTTCTTCTAGTTCAGCTGTTCCAGGGTTTTTTTTTTTTTCTGGGGTGATATTTTCTGGGTTTTCAGAGGTTGAGAGGGGAGGGTTAGAGCGACTACCTTTTTCCTCCACCATCTTTGCTCCCTGAAGCGGAACTTCCCAAACCCTTTGATTTCAAAGAAGTCAAGCTGAAGATTTGGAAGCAAAAACTGCTCTGTGGGGTTATCATATCCTCATTGGTACCCAATCAATGATAGCTGAACCTTTTAATGGCCACAGTTATGCATACCTAATTTTCAAAAACCAAAATAAGATGGAAAGCACTCATTCAATAGATGTTGTTATTAAAGGCAAGAGGTTGGTATGGATCTCTTGCATGGAAGCCCTTCATTACCAATTTGCCTATTTCACTTTGGATGGACTCAACCTCCCATCTCATTGGTATGAAAAATATTAGTTGAAATATATCACTGTGCCAACTCTACCTCTTTTATGTCCTCATAGAACAGATAGAGTATGGGGTGATCTTTCTTCTTCTCCCACCAGCTTGTGACATGTTCATACCAGGAGCCGTAGGCCACTATGTTCAGAAAACAAAATAAAATGGAGAGGGGAAATACATTAGAAACATTTCAGGCTAGACATGTGCCCACACTAGGTTGGGATCTCTAGACATCTAATGAAGTATACCAGTAATCTGCTTTAACCCTGGATATGAAAGTACTGAAGGAAGAAGAAAATTAGCTTTCTGCTCTCCACTGTCCCCTCCCCCAACTTCTTCTTGATGATTCTGTGATTGTGAAACTGATCATTTAGTTCTAGGGAAAAGGAGATGACTATAAGTACATAAAGAAAAAGAAAGAACATGGGAAGATATAGAAAACCCATCAAGGAGAGAACAAAGAAGATGAACATTTAAGAGGGCAAAGACCAAGGAATCAGGAGGACCTGAGTTCAAATCCTGCCTCAGACACTTAAAACTTACTAGATGTATGACCCTGGGCAAATCACTTAACCCCATTACCTAGAAAAAACAAACAAACAAAAAACAAACAAACAAACAAAAAAAAAGAGGGCAAATGCTTATATACACCATTTAATGATCACTTTCTGATCTGCATAGTACTTCTGCCAGCAGCATCTTTTGTGACTGTTATCCCAGTGAGTTTGTCATAATTGTTTTGCTTACCGTTCCCAGACATGAATTTCTCCAGGTACTCGGCAAATGTGCCTGGCTCGGGGTGGAACTTGTTCATTCTGTCAAAGTTGTAATAGGAGACTGCCACATCCTTGGCATTCCGAGCCAAGTAGATTACCTGTAGGCAGGCAGCAGAGGAAAGAGGCATTACAGGGAGCAGAGCCGAGAGTGCGGAGGAGCTCCTCATTCAAATCTGTGGCTAAAACCACCTGAGCTTTGGGAATGGGAAAGGTCAAGATCAAAAGCCATTGTTTTAAGTGAGCCAATGTAGGGTGAGCACTTAGTAGGCACTTAATAAACGCGGGTTTTCTTCTCTTCTTGGATTTTCTTTATAGTGTCCTCACCCCAGCATTCTTCATCTTCCCTCCATCTCTTTTTCAGCTCCCAAGCTCCATCAGGGCATGGACCATTTTAATTTCTGTTTGTATTTGTATTCCCAGAACTCAGCACCGGGCTTGGCATATAGTAAGAGCTTAACAAGTGCTTGTTGACTGATGTGAAGTTGAAATGCCTGTTGGCAGTCCCACAAATCTCCCAGGAATTTTCTTTTCTAGGAGAGTAGAAGAGGAATTTCATGTTTTAAGTATCTATCAATGTGGGTTTCTGCGACTTTTATATTTTAAGCATTTCTTTTGTAGTAGAGGAAATAAATAACAGTCCTATACCTGATATGTTTTGTGCATTGGGTGTTTTTCTAGAAGGGACACTGTTAATTATTGAGAGACTCTAAGCATGGGCATCAGAGCTTTTCTACTGGGAGGCAAGGGCATAATGAGGCAGGGAGTGTGAGGAAAGTCTAATCCCATTCCTTTACAGGTCAGACTGACTCTCTGAAGATTGAACCCGGTCTTGCATGAGGCAGCTAGGTGGAGCAATGGACCTGAAGTCAGGAATACTTCAGTTCAATTTGACCTCAGATCTTTCCTAATTGTATGACTCCAGGCAAGCCACTTCATCTCCAAGTCAGGGTTGTGGTCAGTATAAAATGAGATAATATTTGTAAAGTGTTTTGCACATCTTAAGGTGGTATATCAATGCAAGTCATTATTATGAGTCCAGAGCCTGGGAACCCTAGTTAAAAGAGATTTCCCTACATCTACACCATATAAATCATTAAACTGTGATTTTAATAGGATAGCTCTGCCAAGTCAAAAGGATAGGTCTCCCCTCACCCGAATTATATAAAAAAAATGATAGTGGAGTATTCACACTGTGCTGTAACAATCTTCTGGGACCCTGAAAAAGAAGTTTTTGTACTAAATATGAAGATGATACCATTTGAGATTCAAATAAACCTGGGTGGACAGTTTCAACTTGCCATCAGATTATTAAGGTGGAGGCTAAGATATTTATATACCCTAAACCTGACCTTCAAGGAAAAAATCCAGTTTGTAGTCAGCCTTTTTCCAGCTTTGGTAACTCAGTAAAAGTTCCAGAAGAACAGCTATGCATTAGCATTTGGGGGCAGTGTGGTGTGGTGGGAAGATTGCTGGTTTTGAACAGAAATTGTTGTGTCTGACTCTTCCTGACCTCATTTGAGGTTTTCCTGGCAAGGATAATGGAGTGGTTTGACATTTCTTTCTCCATCTCATTTTACAGATGAGGAAACTGAGGCAAACAGGGTTAACTGACTGGTCCAGGGTCACACAGTTACTAAGTGTCTGAGGCCAGATTTGAACTCAGGAAGAGGAGTTTTCCTGATTCCAGACCCAGCACTCTATCCACTGCAGCGCCACCTAGCTTCCCCTTTGAGCAAAAGGCCTAGATTCAAATCTTACCTAAGGTACTTACTGTGAGACTGAGAAAATCACTTAACCTCAATTAGTCTCAGAGACTAGATGATCTCAAAGCTATTTTAAGCTCTAAATTTATTATGTTATTACTACTGGGGAAAGTCTAGCAAGGTTAGTTGATAGCTAGCATGGAGTAAGATTAGATCACTATGAGTGATGGTATAGACGTCACATACATGTGGATATTTAGTTATATGTGGATATGTACAAACCCGTCCCTGCAAAAGCAGCTGGTGCCTCAGCGGGTGTTGTTGTTGTTATTTATGTTTGTCCTTCTTTCTCAAAGAGGACCATGACGTCAGGGAGGCGATGCCATGACCTGGAAGAGTATTGGATACAAGTAGGAGAGGGCTGGACTGTGCAGAGTCACCAGCCTCACTCTCTCCATTGGAGCCATCTGGGTCCAGTGGCAAGATATGGATCAGGATGACAGGAGAGAGCCTTGGTGGTGGCCCAGTGGATAGAGTGCTGGAGGTGCAGGAAGACCTGAGTTCATATCCTGCGTTAGACACTAATTATATGTGAAACCTTGAACAATCATTATCCTCTTTCTGTCTCAGTTCATTCATCTGTAAAATGTGGATAAATATAGAACCTACCTCCCAATGTTGTTGTGCAAGGATCAAGTGAGATAATTTCTGTAAAGTGTTTCATAAGCCTTAGAGGACTGTATGTGTATACATACATACATATATACATATATATATGCACACATACATACATACATACATGAGATATTTTATATATGCAATTATATAAATATGTAATATACAAATGTAATCATATAATACACATACACATCAACATATGCCTATATTTGGTTATATATGTATATTTTAATTTATATATGTATTAGATATAATTTATATATGCATATAATTTATAGATGTAATTATATATGAATGTATTTTATGTGTATGTGTTATATGTGTATGTGTATGTATATGTATATACACATGTGCGCACAATACATATGTGTATGTATATGTGTGTTTATATATATGTATATAATATAATTTTCAATATGTAATTTGGCAAGGCTGAGCTATTTGACTTTTTGGACCTTGGTTGTCCCTTAGGACATTGTGCACTCTAAATCTCTGGAGAAGGGTTTCTCCAACAATCACACGCAGCAGCATTCCATCACTAATTTCCATGCCTTTGCTCAGGTAATGTCTCACTTTTGCAATGAACTCTGTGTTCTCAGTTCTCTCTCATAGCCCCCCTTAGCTTCCTCCAAAGATTCGTGCTATGTGCAGCATCTTCTGATCTCTCTAGTTTTTAGTGTTCTCTTTCCCTTTTAAAATTACCTTGTGTAACTGACCCTCTGGTATTGATTTAGCTGGTACATGGTGTATTTTCCCAGTGGAATGTTTAAAGGTTGGATTAACTGAGTCTCTGATCAAATTGAGTTCATTCAACCTGATGGAAATACAGGGTGTGGACCATTGCTTTGAAAGCAACTGAAGGGGATCGGAGAGCTCCTAATATTTGTCCAACTGAGGAGCGGGGATTGGGGGGTCCCATCCCGATAGTCTAAAAACAAGCTTGTCTCCCTTGCTCTCTGGGCTTCTTGTTTCACTCTGCCCTTGGGACTCCTTCCAGAGTGTGTTTGGGGCAGGGATTTCTCCCTCCTCTCCAGGAACAGTAATGCAAACCAACAGCATGTGCTTTCCTTACATGATGGTGTCAGACGTGCTTGCAGAGGCCAGGAAGTCAAGTTCAAGGACACTATTCCTGCACCCCAGCATCTTGTGTAAAGAAGAGGGGGTGCCATGGAGATTTTAACTCCATAGGCAGTGTGGTCCTAGAATCCAGCCTTTTGATCAGAGAAGCTTGTTTTCCTCTAGAGTATCTGTCTTGGTAGTTTTGGTAACCTCAAGATTAAGAGATTCTGAGTTTGAGAATGGAGATTTCTGGATGCAGTCCACCCTTGGGAAAAAGAAGGGCAGTCCACAGAAGGCTGCCCAGAACTTGACTTCTTCTTTTTTTTAAATTTTATTAATTTATTTTGATTTATCAACAATCACTTCTATATGCTTTTGAGTTGAAAATTTTTCTCCTCCCCCCCCAAGATGAAGCGCAATCTGATATAGGCTTTACATTTACCTTCCTATTAAACATATTTTCACATTAGTGAAGTTGTAAGTAAAAATTAAAACCAATAGAAGGAACCATCAGAAAGATGAAACAAAACTGAACAGAAGGTACAAATAAGTGATAGTGATTCGACTTCCATAGTTCTTTGGATGTGGACAGCATTTTCCATCCTGAGGCCTCTGAAGATGTCTTAGATCCTTGTAATGCTGAGAAGGGTTCCGTTTAACAATATTAGTCATTGCGTAATGTGGCTATTATTGTGTACAGAGTTCTCTTGGTTCTGCTCACTTCACTCAGCATCAGACCATATAAGTCTTTCCAGGTTTTTCTGAAGTCAGCCTGTTCATCATTTCTTACAGCACAATAGTATTCCATTGCATTCATATACCACAACTTGTTCAGCCCTTCCCCAATTGGTGGGCATCCTCTCAATTTCCAATTCTTTGCCACCACAAAAAGAGCTGCTATGAGTATTTTTGTACATGTGGGTCCTTTTCCCATTTGTATGATCTCTTTGGGATATAGCCCCAGAAGTGCTATTGCTGGATCAAAGGGTATGCACATTTTTGTAGCCCTTTGAGCATAGCAGAACCTGACTTCTAGAGCAAAGCTAGGGAGCTCATTTGACAGGGCCAACTTCAGCAAGTTCCAAAGTATGTTATTGCCTTCTTGGGGGAGTCCAAGCTAGGGACTGGAGATGCTAGTTTTTGTACCAGTTACAGTGTCTCCCCCATTCAACTGTGGGCTCCTCTAGAGCAGAGACTTCCTTCTTCCTTTCTCTATATGCCCAGCACTTGGCACAGTGCCTGGCACATAGTCAGGACTGACATTTAGTGAGTTTTGTCCTTAAAGTACTGACCTTTGTCACCTGTCATTGAATACACTTTTCTCCCTGCTGAGAAATTAAAAGTCACATAGATGAAGAGTTAACTTGAAAACTGGTAGAAAAATAAGGTGGAAGTAAAGCTTAGGTTACTGACCTCTCTATATCCTTAGGACTGTGGGTAGGGAGGGGAGGTAGATGATAATACGAGCTTGCATTGTCTATCCATGTACAGTTTCCAAAGTACTTTCACACATAGACCTCTGAGGTGGGCAAGGCAGGTGCTATAATCTGCCTAGGTCCCCAGTCTTGTGTCTCCTCATCTGCCTCTCAAGAGTGTGGTTACCTTACAGTTGCTCTCCCAGAAATTCTTAGGAAGGAGGGAAATTGGCAGGTGACTCTTCACAAACCGAGGAGATGGCATATTTTCTAAATACTCTGTACCTGGGAAAAGTCAATTTGATACATGCAGAAATTAGATTTTCCCCTTGAAATTTCTACCATCTTGTCTTAACTGATGGCTTTCCTGCGACTTTCTGAAAAGTATTGTCTGCTTGGGAAGACTAACCCAATCTCGAGTTGTCTTTGCTTTTTCTTGTGCTGGGAAAGGCTGAGATGGAACCCCCTCTCCCCTTCCCTGCTTACTGTGTCAGCTCAGCAGAGGACCACTGAAAACAGCGGCTGCAGCTGAATGAAAGGTGTGATTGTGGCTTAGAGGACCTATGCACACGTGGTTCCCTTTAATGGTCAAAGAACTACTGTATCTCAAGGTTATGGAAAACGTTTTTGTTTATAGCATCATCTCGGCTAATATGATCCTTCCTGGGCAATATGGAATAGTGGATACAACACTATACTTGGAATCAGGAATACCTGGGCTCATATTTCCTGGCTGTGTAACCCTGGGCACGTCCAAAATGTCTCTTGGTTTCAGACAGCTCTATGACTGCATAACGTTGTAGAAGACTGGTTTCAGAGACTGATTAGTTGAGTTTTGCACACTGAAAACACTTGTTCAGTCATTTTTAGTCAAGTCCTACTCTTCTTAACCCTATTTGGGGTTTTCTTGGCAAAGATACTAGAATAATTAACCATTTCTTTCTCTAGCTCATTTTACAGATGAGGAAACTGAGGCAAACAGGATGAAGTGACTTGCCCAGGGTCACACAGCTAGTAAGTGTCTGAGGCCAGATTTGAACTCAGGAAGATGAATCTTCCCGACTCCTGTGCACTATGGAACCACCTAGCAACCTTCTGAAAACACTACAGGTCCAAATATTGTATACCCTCTCTTGCTAACAATTTGTGCAGAAGTATATATTCAGAGTATTCAATAACAAGATGCTAATTGCCTATGAAAATACTCTTGCTATTTCCAACAACACTTTTGTTTAAGGCTGGATTTTCTTCAGGCAAAATAAGATTCCAACAGATTAAATGCAAAAGCCGGTAGAAGAATCCAGCTTCTTCTGTTAAGCCAAACATTAAAGTTTCGAAAAAATATGTAAAGCAGAATTACTCTTCTCACTGATATTTTTTGTTATTTTTTCATAAAATAAGTTATTTATATTAACATATGATGGGTTCATTATTGTTGTTTTTAAATGAATTAATAAATAGTTTAAATTTTTATCAGTTTTAACTTCAAATACAGTAAGTATTGGTAGAGATCATATAACCCACATAAACAAAAGCTTTTTTGGGGCCTCAATAATTTTTAAGAGTGTAAAGGGGTCCTGAGACCCAAATGTTGGAGAGCCCCTGCTATAGAGAACTTGCTGGTGAGAAAGCTCCCTCTCCTCATGTAGTACACACCTTCTCTCCAATTTATATCTCTTAGTAAGTTGCCATGACTCTAGAATATTGAGAAGTTTGATGACACAGAGGCAGGATTTGAACCTAGTTCTTGACTTTGAGGTAGATCCCCTGTCTACTCAGCCCCACTGCCTTTGTTTCCTGAGTGTGCTTTGAGGATAATAAGTACAGACATAGTCACCCGTCTGTGTGGTTGCCTAAGGCAGCACATTATGACACGGCCAATTAATATTAGGGCAAATGTGTGTTTATTGGAGGAGATTCACTTAACCTCTCTGTTTACTCTATATAAGAGAGATAATAATAGGACCCACCTCCCCTGCTTCTTGTGGGAACCAAAGGAAATAATATGGTGAAACTGGCACAGAGTAAGTGCTATTATTAATAAGATAATATTTGTAAAGAGCTTTGCAAGCCACTATTCCATCATCATCATCATTAATTTATTATTATTATTATCGTTCCAAAAGCTCAACAGACAGAAAGAATGATAGTGGGAGAGGCAGCTGTCAATGAGAAGAATAACGAAGGTGAGTACAAGAGGAAGATAGTTCCATATACACCAAGCAGGGTGGGGGGGGGAGAGCCTGAAATCTGTGGGCTAAGGGAGAAGCGCAAGGTAAACAAAAAAGAATGATGATGATGATGATGAAGATGATAAAGAAGAAGAAATAGTGACTTGTAAAATGCTTAGACATAGTCTCTTATTTGGTCCTCACAACAACCCAGGGGTGGGGGGTAGGTACGTTTCTTATTCCCATTTTATGGATGAAGAAATTGAGGCAGACAAAGGTTAAAATGACTTTGCCTTGGATCACACACTTAGTATGTGTCTGAGGTCACATTTGACCTCAAGTCTAACTGACTTCAGAGCCCTGGGGCAGGAGAGGGAAAGATAATGATGGTAGCACTGGTGATACAGTCAGTATTTTCCCCGTAATCATAGACTCTGATAGATGGGAGGCTCAAAAATTGTCTTTCCTTTACAACACATTTAACCACTTTGACCCTCAGTTTCCTCATCGATTAAATGAGGATCGTAGTACTTTGACTATTGCCCTAACTTAGTGTGAGATTCAGAGAGGATAATGTATGTGAAAGTGTTTTGAAAAGTATAAAGTATTTTGCAAATGTAAATTTGGATATGTCAATAGAAATGTGGTAGCTAGGTGGCCCAGTGAGAGAGTGCTGAGCCTGGAGTCAGGAAGACTTGTCTATACTACTACTACTACTACTACTACTACTACTACGACTACTACACTACTACTACTACTACGACTACTACGACTACTACTACTACTATGACTACTACTATCTACTATTTACTACAACAGCTACTACTACTACAAGTACAACAGCAACTACTACTATCACTACTACTACTATTATTACTACTACTACTTCTCCTATAACTATCACTACAACTACTGCTATTACTACTAGCACCACCACCACCACCACTACTACTATTTACTACTGCTACAACTACTATTACTACTACTCCTACTGCTATTACTCCTATTACTATTATTACTACTACAACTACTACTATTTACTACTACCATCACAATTACTACTATGACTACTACCATTGCTACAACTACTACGATTACTTAGCACCACCACAGTAACTACTACAACTGCTGTCAGCAACCAAAGATCGTGTAGAATTTAAATGTCAAACCCATGGCCAGGGGGCTGAATTGTTGCCTCCACATTCCCAAGTGTGACCTGAACTAGATTAAAATGGAATTGGGACATATTTAACAAAATAAACACAATTATAATAGAACACAAATAATGTTGGTTTTTTGGAAGGGAGGTTCAGATTAATTTTTTATTCTGAATTCCAAATTCTCTCCCTCCCCCAACCCTTCCTCTGTCCATTGAGAAGGCAAGCAATATGATACCCATTATACAAAACATAGATAATGTTAATATCTGGTTTTCTAAGTCAATGGGCAGCAGCAATGATCCTGTTGCACAGGTTACTGGGCTTGTTTCTATTTTTTAGGACAAACGTCCTAAACCTTTTAGTAACTTTGTCCTTGAGAAAGATAATCATAATAAATAATGATAATAGCTAGCTAGCATTTATATAGTGTCTAAGGCATTGTGCTATCTCATTTGATCCACACAATAACCTTGGGAAATAGATGCTATTATTATTCCTGCTTTACATATGAGGAAACTGAGGTGAAGTGATTTGCTCCATAGTCACACAGCTAATAAGTATCTGAGGCTGGATTTGAATTCTTATCTTCCTGACTTCAGGATCAGTGCTCTTACCATCATACTACTTTACCTGAAGAAAGATATAGATTAATTAGTGAGTTTTCATGTAATAACTGAGTAATAATGGTTCTAATGGGATAGGGTGAGATTTGAAGCTAGGAAAGACCTTACAAGGCATGTCGTCCAACCACCCAATTTATAGAGGAAGAAAATGATTCTGGGAAACATCAAATGATTTGTTTGGTCAAGAGCTAGGAAGGGGCAAGTCTAGGACTCAAACCCAGGCCTACCAGAGCTCAGTGCAGTGTTCTCTCAATTACATTCTCCTGCCCTCTTACCCTGCTCCCCCATTCTTTTCCTTAAAGAGGAAAAATTTGACATATACCTGAGGGAAGTACCCCAGGAGCTGCTGCTTCCATCATTGGAACTCGTTGGTTAATTGGAATTTTTTCCTGTTTTTCAACGGATCCATCATTTTTAATTAAGTCCATGACTTCACTTACCCACGTGGTACCTGAAATAAAGGCAAAGAATAGTACAGTCATACATTTAACTTGAGTTCAAGGGTACAAGTGGTAATGAGGTACTTAGGTGTTAGTAGAGGTTGGGCTGGATTTGGAGTCAAGAAGAACTCACTTTGAATCCTGCTTCAGACACTTATTAGCCATGTAACTCTGGGAAAGGCACTAACTGCTTTCTGCCTCAGTTTCTTCAACTGTAAAATCTGCTTAATAATAGCTCTTCCTTCCCAGAGTTGCTGTGAGGATCAAATGAGTTAATATAGGTAAAGCACTTTGCAAACCTTTAAGTGCTATGTACATTGTACTTATTATCATAGTTATTTTTATTTTCTTGTAGTCGTTAATAACAGTAAGTCAATAAACATAAAATTTTTTAATTAAGTACCTATTATGTGCCTGGCACTGTGCTAAGCAGAGAAGATACAAAGAGAGGCAAAAGACAGCCTCTGCCCTCAAGGAGCTCATGAGCTAATGTTTGTCGCAATCTAACGTTTTGCCTGTTGTTTGTCATATCTCACAAGGTTGGTGTGAGGATGAAATGTTGCTGTTGAGGACAACCAGGTGGAGCAGTGTATAGAGTGCTAGGCCTGAAGTCATCTTCCTGAGTTCAAATCTGGCCTTATTAGCTATGTGGCCCTGGGCAAATCACTTAACTTATTACTTGCCTCAGTTCCTCATCTGTAAAATGACAAGCCACTTCAGTATCTTTGCCAAGGAAACCCCAAATGAGGTCATGAAGAGTTGGACATTCCTGAACAACAACAAAATTAGTATTATTTCATAATTTTGTCAGAGTGTCACAAAGTCAAGTGCTTTGTGAAGATTGAAGGGAAAAGGTTGTGGGGATAAGGAAATATGCATTTGAGGCAGACATCCCTTTTGAAGACATGATACTCACCAGACTTGGGATAAGTGATTATCCAAATATCTTCTGGCCTGCATTGGAACTGCTCAATCCTTTCCCAGTTTATTGCAAAGGCATAAACCATGGGGTAGCCATGGACAGTCTCCCAAGCCCGTCGGATGAAATCTGGAGAAGTCATTCTGGTGTTGGGCGGTGGATGTGTCGATTGTAAAACTGAGGAATCAAAGCAGAAATTGTAGTCAGCAGAACACTGTGAAGAAAAGTAGAAATTCAGGGTACGTTGAGAAGGAAAAAAATACCATTAACTTTGTGAGTCTTGTACACGACTAGAAGAGGGGGGGATGAAAAGCTAGACTGAATCAAAGTTTGGAGTGGCCATGTATAACGTGAATTATTTCTTGCAGACTAGTGGGCTTCAAAGTGAGAAGCCATGGCATGACCCACAATGAAATTGTGATCAAATAATGAGAAGCTGGAAATCTTTTTTTCTTTTTTTGTGAGGCAATTGGGGTTAAGTGACTTGCCCAGCGTCACACAGTTAGGAAGTGTCAAATGTCTGAGGCCAGATTTAAACTCAGGTCCTCCTGACTCCAGGCTGGACAGAGCTCTATCCACTGTGCCACCTAGCTGCCCCTAGAAGGAGGAAATCTAAGCAGGATTCTCTCCTCCCCTATCCTGGGGCCTATCTCCAACATAACCATATCTGCTTCTTACCCAGGAGTAATCCCACAAGTTTAGGAGAAAATCTTTAAGAGCTCTGAGATAATGGGAGAAGAAACAAAGCAGAGATTAGAGGAAGTGGGAAACCTCACTACTTGAGCCTGCAGAAAAAGCTAGTGCTGAAGTCAAACTCCTACTTAGTTCAGAAAAACATCCTCTGTTGGCTAGAATAACCATTCCAGATAGTGGATAACACTGTAGTGCTCAGATCTCTATCATCTGCCAGTCAGGCTTGGCTATCAAAGCTTCAGATTCAGGAAGGGAGGGTGGAAAGTCTTTGGCCAGAAAGAATAAAGAGGCTTCAAGGTGAAGATGGCATCTGGGATCTAGAGAAAGGTTCCCCAGACATCAAGAATGCAGAAAGTCCCTATTCTTCCACATGCACGTTAGAACACCCATCTCCCCTGCCACCTTTCCTTCATTATTTTGCTGTGCATTTCTTCTCCAAAGAAGGGATATTTTTGTAATAGAAACAGACAAATCGGGAAACTTTTCCCATATTCAAATGGAAACGTGAGGTTATGAGGTCAGTACTGAAGGTTTAAGTGTTTGGAGACTTCCTGGACAAGATTTCCTTTGCATTTAGCATGCAAATGAGTATTAATTATTCCAAGTGAGGATACTGTTAATGGAGACTGGGGCAGGGCTAAAAAGAGGTAGGAAGGATGAAGTCGGCCAGGTCACCAAATAGCCTATGTTTTGGATGTCCCAGAGATGCCATGAATTCAATAGATCTAAAACTGAACTCATTAACTTTTCCCCCAAACCCTCCCTTCTTCCAAAGTTTCTTGTTTCTATCAAAGGCAAGGCCATCCTGTCAGTCTCCAAGGTTTGTAAGCTCAGCATTATTCTTGTTTCCTCCCTCTTCCATACCCCACATATCCAACCAGTTGCCGTATGCTAGCATTTCTATCCCTATGATATCTCTTGCATCTAACCCCTTCTCCCAGTTCACAGCCACTATCTTAGTCTGAATCAAGCCCTCATTGCCTATTACCTGAATTCTTCCAATGGCCTCTAAATTGGTTTCCCTGATTCCAAGCTGTGCCTATTCCAAATTCCCAGAAGGTCATATCCAAAAAGTCCATATCTCATTTTGTACCCTGAGTCCATCTCCTCTTTATCAGGAAGTGGGTTTGCTTTAATACTTTGGAGAGTGTAGTTTGGGCTGGAATACAGAGTGAAGAGAAGCCAGGCATGCACATGTGTGAGCCTGTGTCTTATTTCATTCTAGACCAGTCATAACATTAACGAAATCTGGGGTGGGTTTTGCAGTTTTTCAGTTGTGGATGATCAAGATTCCATAGTGGGTCTTTCTTTGGGTGGTGGAGCTGGAAGGCACTTTAGAGATCACTGAATATAACCTCTTCATTTAATAGACGAGAGAGAGCTAAATTCTAGATAATAGTGGCTAACATACACACATATTATATACAGATAGATATGCATGGCACAGCTAGGTGGCACAGTGAATAGAATGCTGTGCCTGGAGTCAGAAAAACTCATCTTCCTGAAGTCAAATCTTGTCTCAGGCACTTACTAGCTGTGTGACCCTGGGCAAGTCACTTCACCCTATTTGCCTCAGTTTCCTCATCTGTAAAATGAGCTGGAGAAGGAAATGGAAAACCATTTAAGTAGCTTTGCAAAGAAATCCCCAAATGGGATCAGGAAGAGTCAGACATGACTGAAATGACTGAACAATATCATATGCAGAAAGAAATATATATTTGTGTATATGTGCATATATACGACATGTGAAGTATATTTATATTATAATAATAATATATTTATATAACACATAAACATTTTGCATTTTTTGCATTTGATTCCTACAATAACCCTGGGAAGTAGGTGCTATTATTATCTCTGTTTTATTGATGAGGAAACAGCCTGAGAGAGGTTAAGTGACTTGCTCAGTGTGATATATCTTAGTGAAGGATTTGAGTCAGGATTTGAACTGAAATCTTCCTGATTCCAACTCAGGTGTTCTACCTGCTGGTGCCTAGCTGCCCTCTGGAGTGTGGAGTGACTGGCTGAAAGTTTGACCACTGCCATTTCAGGGGAAAACTAGTATTAGAACTCAGGCCTCATGACTTCCATTCCTACCCATGTTCCCCTGGTTTTTATGTCATTTATTTGTTTAATGGGATAAATCATTGATTTCTGCATAACTAGTGGCTTTGTTTGGAGAACTGTCTTAAGAGTTTCAGATGTTAGTGGAGGCTCTCTAATTGTCTCTCATATTTGCTTTGAAAGTCTTATAGGGCAATTCTTTTTTTATTTTTACTTTTCATTTTTAGTGCAATTCATGCTAATATTATGTCACATCTATATGGCACTTTGGGTTTACAAAACACTGTCTTCACAACAGCCCTTCGTGATAGGTGGTACAGGTGTTATTTGAGACTGGCCACTATAATTCAGCTTCTACCCACTGCCCTTATAACTAGCAAATTCCTAGCACCTGTTACCCTCCTTATCCTACTTCATCACCAGCTGGCAAGGAACAAACTCTTCCCTAACTTACCTTCCTGTGCTCTCATCCCCATTTTTATCAACTCTACTCTCTACCCACTCCAACTCTGTCCCCTCCTTCCATGCTGCCCTCTGGAATTCCTGTGCCCTACTGAACAAATTTCCCTTCATTCTGGAACTCTTTCTCTCATACTTCTATTGATTTGCTGTCACTGAAACATGACTTCTCCCAGAAATCATTGCCTCCCCGATCATCCTCACCATTATTTTTATTCACAACACCTGGCACAGTGGCTCTGTAGGTAGAGTTGGAATACTTCTTGCTCTCCACTGACACTTGTAGTTTTTCCTTTTGCTTTCATTGCTCAGTAATCTCACTTACTTTGAAGTTCACTCTATTAAAAATTTGCACATCATTTAAATCCTGTTGGCTATTGTGAATGTGGCCTTATACCATTTGTCATGGGGCATACATATTCAGTGTCTGGAATGCTGTTTTTCTTTCCTCCTCAACTTCTGCCCTCCTACTAGGAGATTTCAGCATACACCTTGATGCTTTCTCCCACTTCCCAAACTGCTAATTCCTTAATCTCTTTAAATGCCAAGATCTGTTCCTATGCTTATTCTCTACCACACACAGATATGGTCACTCTTGGGATTTCACTATCACAGTGTTCAACTTTCCTCATTAAAAACCCCTAACAGTCCTTTATTTGACCACAATCTCTTACTACCCTAACTCGGACCCCCTTATACCTCACCCCTCCTAAATGTATTCTTCTCTGTTGTTTTGACCTCAATTTCTTTTCTCTCCTTCCCTTCACTTTCTTAGACCATTACCCTTTTCTGACTTCACTTATTCCCCTTCCTACTCTGGACCTCAGAGATAGCCAATTCAACAGTACACCTAATTGTACTCTTGGATTCCTTAGCCCCTTTGTTTAAATACTGCCCATTTCTAGCCAAACCCTAGCCCTGCATTATTTTCACCAATGACTTCCTCCACTTTACTCTTTTGATGCTGAATGGGGTTGGAGAAAGTCACTTAACAAGGCTGACTGGATTACATTATAGATTTATAGGCCCTAATTACAAATGGGCTGTCAGGGAAATAAGGCAGTTCTTTTATTCCTCCCTAACTGATTCCTTATCTCACTCCCCACAGAAGCTACTCCAAATCTCTTCTCTCCTCCTGCCTTCCATATCTTCCCCTCACTGCATTGTCTTTGTTGAGGATCTAACTTAACTGAGAAAATTGTTATCATTTGCTGAGAACTCCTTTCCCCCTTGCCTTCAAAACCCCTTCACATCATCCTCCATTCTGTTCTGCTTTACCCCAGTTTCTGACCATGAAGTTGTACATCTCTTTGCCAAGGTACTTCACATGCTCTCCCATTTTCTCCATCCATTTGCCCACTCAGTCATCTCCCTTTCTAATCTTTAACCTTTCCATATTTACTGATTCCATCCCTCCTACCTTCAATCATCCCCAAGTCTCTCCCATTTTTTTTTCAGATATGACCAATGTGTTTGCTTTACAACATTGTACTTATTCAATTCATTGAGTGTTCAAAGTTAAGGGTAGGGTTGTTGTTGAGAAGTAACAGTGATATATAAAAAAGAAAAGAATGTCAATGAAACATGTGAAAAAGAAAGGAAAGCTATACTGTGTTGCCAAATGATACTTGAAGCATTTCTAGTTTGGCAGGACTTGCAAGAGCTTATCTCTGACAGAACCCTTTGAGAACTCACAACTCTGTACTACAATGAAGCCTCAAGAGTCGGATTTCATGGGAAGGAAGACTGCTTTATTGGATAGCTTTCAAATTCAGATTCTCTGAAAACATTTTTTACCTGACTAATGTTTTCTCTTGTTCAATTATTGCCTTTGATTGGCAGGCTTTCCCATTGAAATCTCCTTCCCCTGAATAACTAAGTGCCAGATATTGTAACTCTGTCCTACAACATGCCAAAGATATCCTAAACCTATCCTTTCCATGTGTTTGTGTTCTGGAAGGCACACATACAAAACAAGCATCCCATCTTTAGAGGTAA